GAGGCTTAGGCTGCAATCCAGCATTTAGCATTTGAGACCTTTTTGTCCAGAGAGTAGTGAGAGTAAGAGGTGATTAGCTTCAAAAATTATGCACGGGGTGGAGAAAGTAGATAGAAGTTTTCCTCCCTGTCTCATAATGTTAAAACTGATGGACATCCAATGAAGCTGATTGTTGGAAAATTCAGGATAGGTAAAATAAAGTACTTGTTGCATCACATAGTTAAAGTATGGAACTTGCTCCTGCAGGAGGCAGCGATGGCCATCTTCTTGGGTGGCTTTAAAAGATTGGACAAATGCATGGAGGACAAAGGCCATCAGTGGCTCCAACCATGTTAGCTTTGCTCTGCCTCCACGGTCAGAGGCAATGATGCTTCTGAATACCAGTTCCTGGAAGCCACAGAAGGGGAATAGGGCTTTTGTGCTTGGGTCCTGCTTGCAGGTTTCCACAGGCATCTATCTGGTTGGCCACTGTGAGAGCAGGATGCTGTCCTAGGTGGGCCATTGGCCTGCTCCAGAAGGCCAGTCTTGTGTTCTTAATTACCTTGGAACAAGCCCGTCCACTTCATTACATTTCTTTCTTTCTTTTTAGCCACCTAAGCTAGCGACCTAACGCCATACCTGATGGTGGCAAATCCTATAAGGTAATAATTATATTTTGTGTGAATTCAGTACCTTTCTTGGTCGCTCCTGAATCTTCTCAACCAAGGGATGGGTGTCAACAGTTACTAGTCACTACAGTTATATTAGTAAAGTATCCGAGGCAACATATCCCTGATTATCGAATGCTGGGGATCATGTTCTGGCCGGCCACTGTGAAAACATGATTCTGGACTAGATGGTCCTTTGGAAGACCAAAGACCTAGATGGTCCTTTGGAAGACCAAAAAGGCTCTTCAATGGAAGACCATTCAGCAGGGTTCTTCTTATGTTCTTAGCAATCCATTTTGTTGGGTGACTCCAAGTTCTGCTCTTATTAGAGATGATGAAATCTCTCCTTCACCTCCTACTGTTATCTTTCTGTTCTGCCTTAGGACATGAAGCTCTTATGCAAATACCCTCCCTTGACTCCTCCTCTTAGCAGCCTCGGCTAGGCAGCCCTCATGTCTGCTCTAGCTATGTATGTATATTATTTATTACCTTATTTTGTAAGTGCAAATTAGTTTGGTTCCATGCACTGTGTCAACGAAGTGCTTCTATTTTCCGCTAGATGTGTGCCTATCACATTTCTGTTTTTATTTCCTCTATCCCAGCGGTCTGTTTGCTTGTTTTATTTTAGCCATTTAAGTTGGCTGGTGGCTTCAATGATTTTCTGTAACAATAACTAAGCTATAAATCCTTTCCCCTCTCTATGCTTTATAGTCTGCTCCATTTAATATACTCTCTGCTTGGTGTCCATATATACACACACACCCTCTCTAGGACTTACATTTCGGAAATCTGAGTATCCATGATGACATTCACCTTCCACTTATCCAAAGCATCTCAGTGATTGTCTCATACTCAGTAGCTGGCAGATGCAAAGGGAAACAGAAAACCTGGTAGGATTTTCACTGTGAAAATAATAGCTAGGCAACAGGCAGCAGCTCCACAAAATCCAATAATCCTACATTTTCCCCTCTTGCTTGTTCATAGCCACTCTTTCTTCACTGTTTCCCTCCTTGGGCTGAAACTTTGAGCCATTTCCCCACCTCTCTGTTTCACTGCCCTTGATTGATTGAACCTAGTCTATCAGGGATCAAGTGCCAGCAGTAATGACCGCAATACTGTGCAGCCAATCAAATTTTGTTATGTGCTGATGACACGAAAAGCAAATCAAGCTCAAAATTACCAGAGTTGGTGATGGGAATACTTTCAATTCTAATGAAGTTTTTGCAAAACTAACCCTTTCAGTTCAGCATTAATTAACATGCAAAACTGAACTCTCTTGTGCATGGGTAGGCAAACTAAGGCCCAGGGGCTGGATCCGGCCCAATCACCTTCTAAATCCAGCCCACGGACGGTCCGGGAATCACTGTGTTTTTACATGCGTAGAATGTGTCATTTTATTTAAAATGCATCTCTGGGTTATTTGTGGGGTATAAGAATTCATCCCCCCCCAAAAAATATAGTCTGCCCCCCCACAAGGTCTGATGGACAGTGGACTGGCCCCCTGCTGAAAAAGTTTGCTGACCCCTGCTGTTGTGTAAATGCCAGGCAGTGGAGACTGGTCTGCTAGCACTACTAAGGCACAGTCCTCCCAAGGAGAATATCAGACACTATTTTATTTATTTATACATACATACATACATACATACATACATACATACTATGTCTGGGAATCAGTGTGTTTTTACATGCGTAGAATGTGTCATTTTATTTAAAATACATCTCTGGGTTATTTGTGGGGCCCTCCTAGTATATTTACATGAGTAGAATGTGTGCTTTTATTTAAAATGCATCTCTGGGTTATTTGTGGGGCATAGGAATTCATTCATTTTCCCCCCTTCAAAATATAGTCCAGCCCCCCACAAGTTCTGAGAGACAGTGGACCGGCCCCCTGCTGAAAAAGTTTACTGACTCCTGATCTAGTATATAGTTTATCTGTTATGTAACCTAAGTCTGCCTTCAGGAACAACTCTGTAAACCTGAATGAATCTGATAGTAGTTTATGTTTAATATGATTCAGATTCATGTGTGTGTTCTTTAAGAGGGACAGAAAGGGATTATCAACCAGGAAGGTATAATTATTGATAGGACTTAAACGAGTTAGCAGCCCGCTTGTCACTGCATAAACTCAAACAGGGGATCGTTTAAACTCTGCTAAATTATATAATTATATTGGACCATAAAGAAGGCTGATCGCCGAAGAATTGATGCTTTTGAATTATGGTGCTGGAGGAGACTCTTGAGAGTCCCATGGACTGCAAGAAGAACAAACCTATCCATTCTTAAGGAAATCAGCCCTGAGTGCTCACTGGAAGGACAGATCCTGAAGCTGAGGCTCCAATACTTTGGCCACCTCATGAGAAGAGAAGACTCCCTGGAAAAGACCCTGATGTTGGGAAAGATGGAGGGCACAAGGAGAAGGGGACGACAGAGGACGAGATGGTTGGATAGTGTTCTTGAAGCTACCAGCTTCCACTGCGGGAGGCAGTGGAAGACAGAAGTGCCTGGCGTGCTCTGGTCCATGGGGTCATGAAAAGTCGGACTCGACTAAACGACTAAACAACAACAACAAATTATATAAACGTTCCCACAGGGAGAAGCTACAAAGGATATCTGTTGCGGAATCACCTGATTGAATACAAGCAGGTTCCTCATTGGTGAGGAAGGGGCAGTCTGTGCATGCTTGTGCTATTCAGTTTTTGAGGCTTAAAGTTCCTAATCATGACTCCGCTGCTCAAGACTGTAAGAGGAGACAGTGTTTTGTGAGAAGTTGTTAGTAGTGCTAACAGCTAAATCCCTTAGGCTGCATCACACTTCGGGTAGAATATTGTCTGCACATTTTACTTCTCAGCAAGCCAACTGGAAAGAGCCTCCTTGTCTTCATACCTTTTTTTAAAAAAGCCAAGCACACCAGAGGATGAGGCAATATAAAGATTCTCATCTCAGTCACTGGCTCACTGTGAGGTGTTGGGAACATTATCCATAATAACTATTCAGAAACTTGTTGCTTTGTGCGAACACTTATCTAAAATGGCAAATATCCGGGTTTCACTTTGAGGAATGGAAACCATAGATGCTTGCTGCATCCCAATTTCTCATACGGCCCCCTGTTTTTAGCGATCCCCACCCCCTTGATATTCTACTCTTCTTATATCTAGACCACTGATTTATTGAACAATGTATTCCAAGGCACTATTTTGCTGGTGATTGCTTTTGAGATTTTAGCAATGTTGGTTTAGTTGCGTGTATTGTATATTTTACGCTATACTTGTGAACTGCTCTATTTTTCTTTTCTTTATGAAGAGTGGTCTAGAAATTACATAATAAATAAACAAGTAAAAAGCACATGCAATAAGCTAGCAAGCAAGTTGCCTTAGGCATCACAATTCAAGAACAGGGAAATTGAGCACCCTCGCTGAAATGTTGGCTGTTCCACAGAAGCCAATGACTGCGATCCCTAAGAGAGTATTAAAACTACATAGCACACAGTTATATGAATAAGGAGCAAGTTATTTCTCAGACCTATCCAAGGGATAAACATAAATTGGGGGGTGGAAAATAGTGTTTCCTTCTCCATGGAGACCAGCTGCCATTTTCCAATAATGCTCCTGTTTATAAAGCTGTCTGTTGCACTTCCTGGAGGAAAGAAAGCAATAATGCAGTGGCCTTGCTTGTAGCACTCCTGGATGCAATTTCCATCATGTGACACATTTCTTTATTCCTTGTTTTCCAAATGCTTTCCCTGAATGAGGCCTGCTGCAACCCCGTGAACAGAATATTGGGTGTGGGGCCTGTTATGTACTGAAGTTCTCACCCTGGGCCAGCAGGGGGATACTGTAGATAGTTCAGGTCCACATATGCAAATAAGGGATCGAAAGTGACGTTCAGTGATTGGATAGTTACAGAAAATGGTTACTGTTGCGTTGTAGTGGAGCTCTATATAAGCAGGCTGGCTGAACCCTTCAGTTCAGTACTGTTCTGGCCTGTGAATAAACAAGAGCTGTTTGAAGAATTGCTGTGTCGTCTGATATGTTCACCCACAACCTAACAGGGCCAAGTTTAAATAAATGGGGACGTGCTACCGTTCCATGTGACACCTGACAGCTGCAAGGCTGCATCCGCACTATGCATTTAAAGCAGTATCGCTCCACTTTAAACAGTCATGGCTTCCTCCAAAGAATCCTGGGAACTGTAGTTTGTTAAAGGGGCAGATCTACAATTTCCAGAGTTCCCTGAGAAGAGGGATTTATTGTTGAAGCACTCTGAGAATTGTAGCTCTGTGAGGGGAATAGAGGTCTCCTAGCAACACTCAGCAGCAGTAACAAACTAAAGCCCTCAGAATTCTTTGTGGGGAGCCATGGCTGTTATAATTTAAGTGCATAGTGCAGATGGGGCCCGAGAATCCATGCTACTCTTCTTATTGAGCTGTTAGATCCGCATTCGTGTTTAATCTGAGAAGGACTTCAAGTGTGCACTAAACAGAAGGAACTATGCAACGTTTAATCATGTCTTCTTTGCAATTTAAGCCAGAGTCCTTGCAGAAGGGGAGAGTGGTAAGGACAAGCTTCAGGCTCCTTTCCACCCTACCTTTCCCCCAAGGCTGTGTGTCAGTGTGTTTTGACAGGAACAGAGGGGAGATCTGGGAGACTAGGGGTAAGAATACAGTTCTGTTCACCTCACCTCCAAAAGGATACTGTAGAGTTGGAAAACGTTCAGAAAAGGGCAAGGAAAATCATCTGCCCTATGAGGAAATGGGACTTTTTTGTTTAAAGGAAAGGTGAGTAAGACATTATTATTATTATTATTATTGTATAGTCGTTTAGTCGTGTCTGACTCTTCATGACCCCATGGACCAGAGCACGCCAGGCACTCCTGTCTTCCACTGCCTCCCACAGTTTGGTCAGACTCATGTTTGTAGTTTCGAGAACACTGTCCAACCAAGAACACTGTCCAACCCCTTCATGGATCACTGCCTTGCCGTGGCGAAGGGGCTTGAATAACTCAGAGAAGCTATGAGCTATGCTGTGCAGGGCCACCCAAGATGGACAGGTCATAGTGGAGAGTTTTGGCCAAACGTGATCCACCTGGAGCAGGAACCGGCAAGCCACTCCAGTATCCCTGCCAAGAAAACTCCATGGACAAAGGCAACAGGCATATAAAAGACATGATAGAAGTGTATAAAACAGGCTTCTTCAACCTCAGCCCTCCAGATGTTTTGAGACTACAATTCCCATCATCCCTGACCACTGGTCCTGCTAGCTAGGGACCATGGGAGTTGTAGGCCAAAAACATCTGGAGGGCCAAGGTTGAGGAAGCCTGGTATAAAATGATATATGGCATGGAGAAACTGGATAGAGAAATGGAAGATTGCAGACAAATCCCCAGGGGGCAGTAATGGCCACCAACTTGGATGGCTTTAAAAGAGGATTGGGCAAATTCCTGGAGAATAAGGCTATCGATGGCTACTGGCCACAATGACTATGCTCTGCTTCTGAATGTCAATTGCTGGAAGCCACAGGAGGGGAGAGTGCGGGCAATTGTTTGGCCACTGTGAGAAAGCCACTTCCGCCCTGCAGAGGAGGTGGGATTGCAGGAGTCACGGCCCCACCACCTGCGCAGAGGCTGGAGCCCAGCCCCCGCGCGATTGGGGGAATCCCTGGCCATGTCACCCCCCCTAGCCAGCCAATCAGCTGGCTTTGGGGGCGTGGCCCACACGATTTAAATGCAGGCACGGCTGGGGATCTCCCTCTTTTCCCGCATACCAGCTGTTCCTGTTTCCCCCCCTCCCGCCTTTAAGCTTTCCGTTCCTTGAACTTGCTATGGACCTCGGTTGGTCGCCGTTGAGGGGCCTGGTAGGAATTTTCCCACTTGGCAAATTGGCACCAGCCACTTGGTTTTCGCCTACCTCGTAGCAAATCGTCACAACTTTCTTAGTATTGGCGGTGAGACATTGGTATTGGTATTGTTTTGTAGAATGAAGAGGGGAGGAAGCACCATCACCTGCCCCACATATTGAAGGGTAGTCCTATAAAGGATTCCGGGGGGCGTGGCCCTGTTCGAAGCCTGCAGAGGTGAGGGCCTAAGGCACGCCCCCGAGCAGTGACCCCGGGGGAGTTCCTAGTTGATGTGCATCAGCATGACTCCCCCTACTGGTGGTTAACCCTTCCCAGACTTCAAGCAAACAGGCTGAAGCCGGATAGTCTGTTAGGACCAATGCCTAAGCCAATACTGCTCATCACCTGTAACCAATAAAAGTTGTGGCCATATTTAGCCCATTAAGTAATTGTGTCATGTGTCTTTATTTCCACTGGGGGAAGACAGGAACTCACCATGCAATAAGATGCTGGAATAGATAGGCCATTGGCCTAATCCAGCAAGCTCTTCTCCTGTTGGCAAGTGAGAGTGGGTAGGAGAGAGGTACAAATTTGTGTTGGCTAAGCAATTAGCTGATCTATTTCCTAGTTTGGGGTGGGCAACTTGGTTCATCTCCCATCCAATGCGAGCTTTGGGTGTGGGGAGAAAGGTGAATATTCCTAGCCGAGCCAAGATAACCCCCTGCAAATACACACATGCTAAAACCTGTACTGGCATAAATCAGCCTGCCTTCCTTTCTTTTTTTCCTTCCCCAAAGTGTGTTTGAGAACAAATCTTGTACCTTCACCTTGCATCTGGAGAAATCATGATGATGACTAGGTTCCACTCGACAATAAAAATGTTTCCTCCTGCACTTTATGCTGCCTTTTATAGCATCATTTAGAAGTGACACAGCATGTCAAAACAAAAGCACACGATGAAATATGAAGCCTCCAGACATGGAGGCACAATGGATGTCCCACTACATGCCATCTTCCAAATGATATTTTCAGTTATTCAGAGCCACAATGACTTTAGACAGGTACAATAATGCACAGAAAGAAAACAGCTGAGATGCAACAAAGTAGAAAAAAAATCCCCTAAGTCAAAGCTAAAAATACTTAGCTATTCGTTTTAAGGTGTCTGCCATTTTATTTTTGCCATATTGTCCCAATCCAATTCCTAACACAGAGGAAGTAAGAGGAGGAAGAAAGGAAGGAAGGAAGGAAGGAAGGAAGGAAGGAAGGAAGGAAGGGAGCTTCATTTGTGAAAACATGATTTTGGGGGGCACTAGCTGCTTTGGTCTGCATTTGAAACAGTTTCTCCTCCTGGGAATATGATCCTAGCCAATCAGAGAACACAAAGTAAACGTGAAACTGCCACAGTGCATTATATTCTGTCATATTCGACGATGTGATGACATCACAAAGCCAGTTCAGAGTGAGAGGTGTCATGGCCCCAGAAATGGGATCCTCAGAAGCAGAGTCCTCCTCCATTGACAGCCCCAAGGAGGAGATGGATCCATTCCATGGTCCATCCAATAAGGAGCTGTGATCACCAGAGCTCACTGTTCCTCCTCTGAAACTCAAGGAGGCAGCTCTGCCATTAAATGCCAATCACTGATCCACAGACTCCTCAGTGGGTTAGTGGAGCCCTGAGCAGATATCCCCACACCTTGCAATCCCAGGGCCCAGAAGAATCCAACAGCTGCAGAGGAAGACCCTGGCCAAAGGCACCATTCAAGGTGATGGCCTTTACTCAATAAAACCTGGCCCAGCCTTATAAAGATGTGCTAATGAGTTATATCCACGTGGAACACACATGCACACGAACCTGAAACTTGCCCCTCTTTTTTGTTAAAAATTGAATGCCTTTATAGTGAGAATCAAAGGTATTTCAGGGCATATGAATCTTTTAACGTGATATAAAACTAGTCAGAAATAAGAAGAAGCTGAAAATGAAAAGAAAGAAAGAAAGAAAGAAAGAAAGAAAGAAAGAAAGAAACCCAAGGGAGATGAGAAAGCTATATAAAATCAAATCTCTAAATTTTCAGCTGTAATAGTACGGAAGAAGTAGCCTATTTTTGCAACATAATTTGCCAGGAAACAGGTCCCAATAATATGAACCCAACAGGAGTGGTTTAATCCTATTAAGCTTGTTTTCCTCATTTGTAGCAGCAGCAGCAGCAAACACAACCATGAGCCTGTGTCATTAAAGTTCCCCAGTTGCCTTCTGAGCTCAAATCTTCACATATTTTGCCATTAAGGACCACAGAGAAGGCTCACAGGAGACCGCTCACAGGAGTCTTCCGCTTCTTCCTACTTTCTCTCTCTCTCCCTCTCCCTTTCCTGATGTCCTCATAAGGCTGAATATGAAATTAGACATATCGTTCAGAAGCAAACCTTGCACATAATGAGCCCATAAGTAATAGGCATCAACCGTGAAGGCACCTTTGAGGGAAATCCGCAAAACTTAGATGGTGACGAGAGTTTTAGCTTACAAAGTCAAGCTGGCTCTCTTAAAGCACCATACTATACACATACCCGTCAACCTTTATCTGATGAAAATAGGGGATGTCAATAATAATAATAAATAATTTTATTCTTTATACCCCACCCATCTGAGTGGGTTGCCCACTCTGGGCGGCTTCCAACATATATAAAAACGTAATACAACATTAAACATTTAAATGCTTCCCTATACAGGACTGCCTTCATATGTCTTCTAAAGGTTGTATAGGTACAGATCTCCTTGGCTCAGGGACCACAAAGCTCCACACCCTTCAACATTTCTCCAATGAAAATAGGGATGTCCTAAGGAAAAGCAAGGGTGCGGGTGGCACTGTGGTCTAAACCACAGAGCCTGGGGCTTGCCGATCAGAAGGTTGGCGGTTCAAATCCCCACAACGGGGTGAGCTCCCATTGCTCTGTCCCAGCTCCTGCCCACCTTGCAGTTCGAAAGCACATCAAAGTGCAAGTAGATAAATAGCGGGAAGGTAAACGGCGTTTCCGTGCACTGCTCTGGTTCACCAGAAGCAACTTAGTCATTTTGGCCACATGACCCAGAAGCTGTCTGCGGACAAATGCCGGCTCCCTTGGCCTATAGAGTGAGGTGAGTGCCGCAACCCCAGAGTCATCCGCGACTGGACCTAACAGTCAGGGGTACCTTTACCTTTAAAAAAAAGCAGGACATTCCAGGTTGACAGCTTCTGTAAATCTGGGACTGTCCCTGGAAAATAGGGACACTTGGACGGTCTGCTAGACATGTGCCCTCAAATGTAAGTTCCACTGATTTCAATGAGCCTTAGTCTAATGTAAGTGGATATAGACCATTGAATTCAAGACTACAGTGGTACCTCTGGTTGCAAATGGGATCTGTTCCGGAGGCCCGTTGGCAACATGAGCAAAAGCAACCCGCATCTGCGCTTGCGCAGGTCGCGATTCGCCGCTTCTGCACATGCGCGTGACGTCATTTTGCGCATCTGCTCATGCGCGAGCGGCGGAACCCGGAAGTTACCCTTTCCGGTACTTCCGGGTCGCCGTGGGACACAACCTGAAAATGTTCAACCTGAAGCAAACGTAACATGAGGTATGACTGTACTTCATGAGAAACACAAAACTTACCAACCTAGGAGGTCAAGTGACAGGATGACACAGGCAGCACAAGATGGAGGCTTCCTCCATCAAGTCATGCAGCTTTATGATCAGACAGCCTCAGCGGGAGAGCTTAGAGGCAGGGCTTACTTCACTGGCTCTCCTGTGACAGACTAGCCCCATCAGGCCTCCTCTCTCCTCAGCAGGGAACTTTTCTATTTGGTTGAGCCATCAGAAATGTAATGTTTTAACCGCTGCCTGAAGCAGCAAAGTCCAACAAGCACTGGACCAGACAGTTCTCTCCATCACGTTGCTCAGCTCTCGCTTTTGTCTTCCTCTTTTAGCAACTTTGGTACACGAGACATTTGCTCATTCTGAGAGGGAAAAGCAGAGGAAAGTTTGGGATTTATGACTCAGTAACTTCTGTCTCCCTGGCAAATTTATGATCGGATGAAACCTATTTGTTATTACTCATTGTCAAAAAGAGAGAGAGGGAGATGGAGGGGAAAGACATGAAACCAGATGTTATTCTCAAAACTATAAGCAACTGTAGATTTTCCAGGCTGTCACTCGGAGGAATTTTGAAGCCTTTTCTATATCCATCACAAATGTTGGCACATTCTGCCATCACCAATGGAGATGGCAATTAAGTGTTAACTAAACGGAGAAGCATTCACTTCCTCTTGCTGATGCATAATTTAAGCCATTAGAAACGAAGATTGTCATTACCCAATTTTTAAACAAAAAGGCTTGCTCAGGCTGACAGGTTTCGCTCGGTAAATTAGCCTGAGGTTTATCTTTGTCACTCTAGCCCTCGTGTAATCGTGACAGTGTGTCCCAGCTGCCAACTGATACAATTAGATTAGTTTTAGGAATCCTGATTATTTTTAGCAGACTTTTGTGCATTATCACTGTCATCATCATGCATTTTGCATAGCAAAGTTCCAAGTCCCCATCTAATGCTCCTTTTCCTTCCGCAGCAACGTTGTTGCCATGGGAGAGAAGAGGTCCAGCATGAGACACAACTTAAGCCAGGGATGGGGAACCTGTGCTGCACTGGACATTGGACTCCAACTCTCATCTGCTCTAGCCAGCAGGGCCAAGGTTCAGGGGTGATGGGATATGTAGTCCAACATCATCTAGAGCAGCGGTTCTCAACCTGTGGGTCCCCAGATGTTGTTGGACTACAACTCCCATCATCCCTGAGCTCTGGCCTTGCTAGCTAGGGATGATGGGAGTTGTGGTCCAACAACATCTGGGGACCCACAGGTTGAGAACTGCTGATCTAGAGGATCGGGGGAGGGGGGAATCAGAATACAGAAACATCTTGGAGGTCCCAGGCCACAGAGAGGTTAGGCTGGCCTCAACCAGAGCCAGGGCTTTTTCGGCTGTGGCTCCGATCTGGTGGAATGCTCTGTCACAAGAGACTAGGGCCCTGCGGGACTTGACATCTTTCCACAGGGCCTGCAAGACAGAGCTATTCCACCAGGCCTTTGGCCAGGGCACAGCCTGACTCCCTCCTTTGGCAATCCTCACAGAACTCTAGCCCTATGGTTGCCATTAATCTGATTTGAATTAATTTTATAATGAAATGATTTTAGAATGTTTTATCATTTTATTGTTGTTAGGCGCTCTGAGCCCGGCTTCAGCTGGGGAGGGCAGGATATAAATAATTTTTTTTAAAATTATTATTATTATTAAAGGTAATATAATGTGTAGTCCCATTCTGAATATGTTTACAGCTGCAGTCTTCTAATGGAACAAGTATAAGATTGAGTAATCATTTAGTAATCATCTAGCACAGACATAGCCAGTTTGATACCCTTCCAGTGGTATTGGACTCTGGCTCCCATCAGCCCCAAACAGAATAGCCAATAGTCAGGGATGGTGGCAGCTGAAGTCCAATGACATCTCAAGGGCACCATTTTGGCCATGTCTGATCTAACAACAGCAGAGGGGTAGTGGCCTGGGGTTGTGGTGTGTGTGTGTGTGTAGGGCTCATTAATATTTCTGCAGCAGGATCTGAGCAGGGTCCCTGTCTCCAGCATCCTAGAGCTTGCTCCATCAACATGAAAAGGGAGCTTTTCAGCCACCGAGAAGTAGTCTTCTCACCCTTCGTGCTAATCAGAGCTAATCAAAGTTAAAGGAGGTAAGACGACCACTGAGGATTGGCTCCTCTGAATACTGAGGAGGAGTTATCATGTATGCACCAAAGCTAAGCATTAAGGAACACCGAAAACACAAGGTCCTTCAAGTATCAAGAGAATGGTGTGCAGTTTCTATTACGTACAGTGGGATGTCAACCAGCAATATGGGATGATGGGAGCTGAAGTTCAGCAATACCTACGGAGCCAATGCTTCACCAAGCCCGGCTTAGTGGATAGCACTGTGATGTGACTGAGGAGAAATGGGATTTGTTCAGCCAGCACCATACAACCATGTGCTATGTAGTAGCTAAGAATGCCCGTCGCAATTCTTTGTTGTCCCATACAATTCATTGATGTTCACTGTGCCCATACTTAGCATATGCATTTGCATTTGCACAGACCTGAATTAATAGTGCCAATACCCCCTCTGTTAAAGGGACTACCACCCCACCATCACTGTTATGTACTGAGTTGAACAGGATCCAAAATGAAGCAGTCTGATTGGTCCTAGAACAATAGGATTCAGAATGCAGCAGTTTGATTGGTCCTAGAACAATGCAGCAGTATGATTGGTCTGCTGGAGCCACCCAATCCAGCTCCAGGTGGAAGTGAATCTGCAACCTGATTGGCCTACAGGAGAATTCTGGAATTAGCCAATCATGTGCAGCCCATTGTGTAAATAATGTATATAAAGCAGATACTTTGGGGGAACTTTCATTTCCTCCTCACCACTATGAGCTGAATAAAGAGCATGAAATCCACTCTCGACTCTGAGTATATTTCAATCACCACGAAGTACTGCAGTTTCTGGTACACCCCCCCCCCCCCGTCATCATCATCACCATCAGAGACAACCTTTCATAGAACATAACATAAGGTCATAAGAATATCCGGCTGGATCAGACCAATGGTCCATCTATTTTGGCAGAGAAGCTAATTTGCAGCTAGGAAGCCAAATCATGTGCCGTGCTGACACATTTCTTGAAATTAAAATGATATCCAATCACTTGTTAAAATATTCAGAAGCTTTTACCTGCAGAACAAATAGCTTGTTGTTGTTGTTGTTTAGTCACTTAGTCATGTCCGACTCTTCGTGATCCCATGGACCAGAGCACGCCAGGCACTTCTGTCTTCCACTGCCTCCTGCTGGTAGCTTCAAGAACACTATCCAACCATCTCGTCCTCTGTCATCCCCTTCTCCTTGTGCCCTCCATCTTTCCCAACATCAGGGTCTTTTCCAGGGAGTCTTCTCTTCTCATGAGGTGGCCAAAGTATTGGAGCCTCAGCTTCAGGATCTGTCCTTCCAGTGAGCACTCAGGGCTGATTTCCTTAAGAATGGAGAGGTTTGATCTTCTTGCAGTCCATGGGACTCTGAAGAGTCTCCTCCAGCATCATAATTCAAAAGCATCAATTCTTCGGTGATCAGCCTTCTTTATGGTCCAGCTCTCACTTCCATACATCAGTTGCTTTATGGTCCAGCTCTCACTTCCATACATCACTACTGGGAAAACCATAGCTTTTACTATACGGACCTTTGTTGGCAAGGTGATTTCTATACTAAAGAAGAATATATGCAAAGCATTTTCATTCATGTGCTTATCCAAGCATGGGCTTAGTTTTGCTTAGTTGAAGACTACAGTTTGTTCTTTAACATTCAAACATACTGTTTCTTTCTCTCTTCCCAGCACTTACCCTCAGCCTCCTGAATATTACCCCAGCTAGGCCTTGGCGGTTCCTTCTGAGAGGCTTCCATTTTCTCCTCACTGTTTCTCTGGGAGAACAACAACTTCTGTACTTCATTCTGTCACATACATTCACAAAGAAACATCAGCACTCCTCTCCTCTAGTGAGTTATCTAACACTGTCTCTTCTTCAGTGTTCATGGAGATGCAGCCATTACAGTCAAGTCTCTCACACAGAAAACAAAAAGGAGAATGTGATGAGGTACCTCCCATGTGGCCAGAGTTAACCAATCACATGAGAATGACTGCGGAACATTCCAGAATCAAACGCACAGTAATGCATGTAAGTATTCCCAATTTCAGTAGATTAAATCACTATGCCCAAGAAAGATCTTAAATTATTTTTGTATGCCACAGCTGCTGCTCGAATTTTACTAGCTAAAAAGTGGAAAACGCGAGAATTACCAACGGTGGAAGAATGGCAGATGAAGATGATGGATTTTTCGGAGCTAGCCGACCTAACCGGAAGAGTCCGCGACCAGAAGGAGGAGGAGTATCAGGAAGAATGGACAAAATTTAATGATTATTTAGTTAAATATGTTAAGTTAAATTAATTGGAAACAGCTTGCAGATACTTAATTGGCTTAGGATTTTATATAAGTTAAGTGATGAATTAATATATTTAATTTCAAAATGAAAAGATTTAAGGATGTTAATCTTCATGTTAAATTTTATAAGAACTGTGATTTGGAAAACTGTTAAAAGGATATATACACTGGAATTCAACCAAGGGGAAGCGAGGAAGTCACTTAACAATGTTAATAAGTGTAATTTTTAATAAGGTTATGATTTTTGTTTGTTTATGTGGTTTTTTTGTTTGTTTATAATCATGTGAAAATCAATTAAAAAAATTATAAATAAATAAATCACTATACAGTGGTACCTCAGGTTAACAACTTAATTCGTTCCGGAGGTCCGTTCTTAACCTGAAACTGTTCTTAACCTGAGGTACCATTTTAGCTAATGGGGCCTCCCACTGCTGCTGCTCTGCCACCGCGCAATTTCTGTTCTCATCCTGAAGCAAAGTTCTTAACCTGAGGTACTATTCCTGGGTTAGTGGAGTCTGTAACCTGAAGCGTATGTAACCTGAAGCATATGTAACCTGAAGCGTCTGTAACCCGAGGTACCACTGTACTTTACAGTCTAGCCAGGAGCGGAGGAAGGGGGGTGCAGTGGGGGTGGACTGCCCCAGGTGTCACCACTGAGGAGGGTGACAAAATGGTGGCGGCACTCACCGCAGGGCCTGCAGTGCGCCCGAACTACTCGTCTTTCTTGGGAGTGACGCAGTGGCTTGGGTGCCCACAGGCTCCGCGCTGCCCCAAACGGTCCGCCCACTGCCTCCCTCCCCAGATCTAGGGCAGCTGAGTGGGAGGAGGTGTACAGACTCATTGGAGACCCCGCAGAGCATCCTGCCATGGCTCACCCTGCCCCACGGGCGGCTGGCCCACACGCCACCCCAGGCGCCCGATCAGCTTCCTCAACCTCTGTGTCTAACATCCTGTTCTCGCAGTGGCCAGCCAGAAGACTGTGAGGAAACCAACAAACAGGACCTGAGAGCAAGAGCTTTTCCCTTCTGTGGCTTCCAGCAACTGGTATACAGTGGTACCTCAGGTTACTTACTTAATTTGTTCCGGAGGTCCGTACTTAACCTGAAACTGTTCTTAACCTGAAGCACCGCTAATGGGGCCTCCTGCTGCCACCGCGCCGCTGAAGCATGATTTCTGTTCTCAACATGAAGCAAAGTTCTTAACCTGAAGCACTATTTCTGGGTTAGCGGAGTCTGTAACCTGAAGCGTATGTAACCTGAAGCGTATGTAACCTGAGGTACCACTGTATTCAGATGCATTACTGCTTGTAATGATGGAGGCAAAGCATATTGACATCATGACATGTAGCCGTTGGTAACCCTCTTCTCCACTAATTCATCTAAAAAATGTTCTAGGTTGGTGACCATCACTTCCATAGCCTACCTATGTGCTGTGTGAAGAAATACATTCTTTTATCAGTCCTAAATCTTCCAACATAACAACAAAGAGGATGAGGGGAGAACGTGATGCTTTTAAAAACTTCTTTGTTTGTTTTCTCTCTGTGTCATGTCTCCCGAACAGGAAAAACTCTTGGATAGGCCTCAAAACTTTGCTCTAGGTGGAAACTCTGGTGACCCACTCAATCCTCTTCCTGGTTGCATTTGTTTATGTGCCTCCAGATGTGGCTGGCCCTGCTGCATCCCGATGTCTCCACGCTTTCGACAAAGTAGAATGTGAATCGAACCGATCACAGCAAGCGCGGCTGCTGAAGCAAGCTGAAATGAGCCCAAGTGGGAACGATGCTGCATAGATTAAGCTTCAGCCCCCCTGCTGGGTTGCCAGGGAAACTGGAGAAACAGCTGCATCAGAATGTGGATGGAGAAAGGCGATGGAGCTGGAGTCAGAAGGGGGAGAGCATCTAAAAGGAAGCTCTCAGTGTGGTGCTCATTCAGAATGGGGTCAGTGGTACAGGAAGGAAACAGAAGCACCGCAAGGCATCTCATTGCTTCCCGAGGAAGCAGTAGCCATCTCACTGTATAAAAATGGCATTTTCCCCCCATTCCTGTAATCGATTTTGCTCCATGATGGTTACTGTCTTCTGATGTTGGTCTAGCAGGTTCCAGATTAACCATGTGGCCTCCTACTCTCCACACAGCAAAGATATTTGAGAAAGGTTGGAACTTCAGCACAGAGTTGGCACTAGATGTGGGATATTCAGCCTCATATAACCAACATGCTGAAGTCAAATTAATGCATGAAGGGGTTAAGACCATAGAGTAAGCGGTTCTGCCAGGCTTAGCTAGGTCACTTCCCCTCACCCTAGGAGGAAGGGTTTTCAAGCCTTTGTTCTTCCCATTCCACCACTTGAACCCTACCAGTAAGGAGGTCCAAGCTGGATGCTCCAAGCTTAGACCACATGCCTTAAGTCAGCTTTGTGTTTCTGTACAAATAATTTGGAAACATTTAACACTTTGGAACCTAAGTTTTACTGTCTGTGTTTTCTGACTGCTGTATGGGAAAGCACATGACTCTGACCTTTGAAGAGTTTGTAAGTAAACCATTTTTAACTTACCAAATATGTGGTCTCTTTTCTATGCTAAGGGAAGAGGGGAATATTGCAAGCAACTTAGAAGGTGGCATTTTTAAAGGGTTTGGTATTTTAAGGATTTTTTTTTTTAAAGTTTTATTGTTAACCATCTTGGGAGTCTTTTCCAAGACTAAAAGGCAGGCTTTAATTGTTTATATAAATAAATGCATGAAAAAATAAATAAAAAATGACCATAGAGGCCACAGCACTGCTGAAGCTAAGCAGGGGGAAACCTGATCAGTTTTTATTCATACACAAATGTATGCATATTTAACCCATTTATTGATTAATTGACTAAAATGCATATAATTAATCGACTCCCAGTTTCTTTAATCAGGTGTCAGCCCTAATCAGCACAATTGCCTAAAGAATTTTACAGTATCCAATTAAATTCTCTTAAACTGCTAAAACCATCACATCTCTTTGTCAAGACATGATTTTTGGTAGAGAAATTATTTTGTTGGCAGAGAGCCATTTCACATATATAATATAAATTCAACACTGGTAGTATATTAACTAAGCAGAATCGCTACTGGGAAATTAAACATATTGCAGAGGAAAAGTGAAACAGCCATAAAAAAGAAGGGGGGGGGGGAAAGGTGTTTGGTAGAGGAGATTAATTTTTTTTTCATTGTCAGAAACCTATTAAAATATACAGAGCATAAAGAAATGTATCAAATGTTGAGATTACATCTAGGATAGCCGCAATTTGAGACAAAGGATCTTCTTTCTAGGGGCACTTCTCAAGCAGAGAAAATGTGGATTAACGTGTAAAAGTAGTTCAATTCTAATGTAATAAAAGCCCAGGAGACAGCTGGCTTAGTGTACAAGATACTGTCTATTTCAGAACTACTGGAATAAAAAAAGAATCATCCCTATACCTTCAACAAAGGCAATTGTAGGAATATTGAGCTAGCGTTAAAACACTTTAAAGTCCAATTGATGTCAAAGAAAGAGATTTAAGAGTGTGCTTAAGTTTCCTGTCGAAATGAATGGCAATTGAAAGGTCCTCGCTTGGGTTAGAGTGGGTCTAACCCGGGGAATGAACTAGATGTGGTTTCTGGTTGGCCATCGAGGCTGGTCCCAATGAGAGTGCTTTACAGTAGTCTATAAAGCACTGTTTTGAGAGATTGCCCTTGAAGGCTGTTCAGGAATCTCACCTAGTTCAGAAAATGGAGGCCTGGCTCCTAACTGAGGTTTCCTGAAGAGACTGTATTATGTGTGTCTTCAAAAAGTCTTCAAGTGGTTGCCAGTTGGTTTTCTAGAAGCCATGTCTCTTCCTACATACATGTTGGAAGACACACAAACACACACACAAAGAATGAAAACCTTGATGCATGTACATAGCTGCATCTGAACAGATGGCTACAATATTGAGGGCCTTCTCATAAACAGTACCCCAGGTATGAGGTCTAAAGGACTCGCAGCAGGGTGAAAACTATTATTTAATAACAATACAATAGCTGCTTTGTGTCAGTGTAATAGTCAATATAAGGTAGGGTTGCTGTACATCTGGAATTTTCTGGACATTGCTGGGATTTGGCAATCATAAGCAGTGTCCGGGCAGAAATAGCTGAAATATCTGGGAAAATCTGCATGTATGGCCACCCACGTAGGAACTGTAGATTTGGGCGAATTTTCTTAAAAATAATTCAAAAACTTCATTTTTATTTTTAGATTTTGCCAAAGAAGCTCAAGAACTTTGGGAAAACTAAAAAAACACACTCAACAACTCTTTGACCAAAAACCTCATCATCATCATTATTATAATTATTTTAGTTTTTGCAACAACAGCAAAAATTCAACAACTTTGCCAAAAAAGATTTCAACAATTTTGTGTCTGGATTTTCACTTTTTGAAATATGGCAACCCTGAGATAAGGCAGTGCTCATCATTCTGTTATGGAAGGCTTTTAAAGAATTAATACCTCCTGGAGATTTTAATAGGAAAAGTGAAAGTATCCTTGAGGCCCCATATTATGGAGTGTGTTATGATTCCAGATATTATCCCATCCTTTTTTATTGAGCTTGGATCAGTCACCTGCTGTCAGCCTAACCTACCTCACAGGGTTGTTGTGAAGATAATATATAGAAGGGGAGAGATATGCATGCTGCGCTTGAGCTCCTTGGGAGAAAATGTGGCGTGTGGCTTCAGTACTAAATAAATAAATACATCCATGCAGGATAGAAATGGAAATAAGATGATCAACAAGTCATGGAAGCAAGCATACTTGCTAAGTGTGCCCCTGACCAGAATCTCTCAAAAGAAGGGAGAGAGACCCTCTCACAAAAGAGTTAAACAGACAATTATATTTAATTTCCCAAATAATTATTTCCCCAATTTCGCAGTTAATCCCCCAACTAATTATTCAGCATGATGCAGTGAGCTTCCTTGTACTTGAGTTGCAATGAAATCTTTTTAATGTAGACTCAGGGTTACGTAAGAAACTTAGGCTACCCATATCACATCACCCCATTGGTCCTTACTTTTAAGTAGACCTATGCTTTTTTGCAGATTTTGCTCTGTTAGGCTGCAATCCTTTATCTGCTCACCTCTGAAGTGAAGGCCCAAGACAGGTGTTGATCATTATGTGAGCTGCGCACAGGTGGTCTGAAGCGCGGGAGCGAGCTACCACCATTCCTGTGGAGCCTCCTTTTATTGAGACAAACATGCAAGCTAGGCAAATACATTTTTGGGCTGTGACCTTTACACATCTTCCGTCCCGAAATCGTAGGGCGGTACAAAGCTATTTTGGCACCTGTTCCACAGCGTCATTTTCCCCTTGCGCTGTGTATGACGTAGGAGACAAAAGGTCTCAGGGAAGAACTTAGACAGGACACCGCTGACTCTGAGACCGCAAAAGGTCAGACACAGGGGACGATGTTCTAGACAGCTTGTGGCTTGTCTGAGGGGGGGTTGTGCCCTGCACCCCAGGGTCACGCGTGCAGGCAGACGTGGCTGCCTGCTGGTGGGGAAGCGTGCTCCCTCCAGACCCCACTCCCCACTCCGCGATATCCCTACAACCTCCACGTAAGCCCCATGCATAGCAGCCAACTCCTAGCAGGTCTTTTCATCCTGCCCCCATAAAATATTTGAGAGGGCTGGGCCCTTCCAAAGTTGTTGGGCATTGCCATTCAAATGGTGTGTGTGTGCTGTGTCTTGTGATTGGTTATGTTGGGCAGGGATTACCTGGGCCTCTCCCCCAATATTTTATTCAAATATGGCCCCATGGAGTTCAAGGAGACTTCTGCCTGAGAAAAACATAGGAAGCTGTCCTGTATCAAATAAGATCACTGTTCCATCTATCTCTGATTGTTTACAAAGTCTGGCAGCCGCTCTCCTGATTTTCAAGCAGGGATGCTCTCCAATCAATTTACAGGTAAAAATTCCTAGAAATCACTTCCCGTTATTTCCAACGACTTTGTTAAAAAGAAATGGAAGATCATTGTAAGGGAGGGGGAAAACATGAAGCATTCCTTCTTCCTACACAAACCTTTTTTGGGGAAAAGAAAGCTCTGGACTGTTCTAGTCTTCTGTCAGTCAAGAGTGATCTACGGTTTTCATGATTAGATGACCTGCTTTCTATGTCTGCAACTGTTCCACAGTCTCAGTTCAGTTGATGAAACTTACCTCAAGGGTACGGGCTGCATTAGCTTTACAGTTTAACGATTACTTCACTTGGTCTCCCTTTCCATTAGGTGTGTTCAATGAGTTTCAAAAGCCGAGTTGTCATCGTGCTGAATGCCTGCTATCTCGGGCTACAAAACCCATTAAGAAAACTTAGAGCAAAGCTTCGGAAGTCTGGATTTCCAGAGGCAGCGATCTCATTCCCTTGCTTTTGACTGAAAAACACTTCCCCGTCACAGATCATAGAATTAGATTTAAAGTTCCGCTTCCTCTGGAATGTAATAGCAGCGAAGTCAGAAGAGGAGCCTGACACACAAAGTCCTCTTTCTAAGGCGTCACCACGGCAGTTGTCCCTTGGGAACAAGATATTAAATAATTAGATCCTTGGCCAGGGCAGGCTGGTGTCATGGTTATCAGCACAGTGCATTTGGAACTGGACCAAATGAGAGCAGAGGAAAATAAGAAGAGCTTTGATGGCCAAAGGTTCATCAAGCCCTGCATTCTTTTCTCACAGTGACCAACCAAATGACTATGGGAAGCACACAAGCCAAGACCAACAGTACTCTCCTCACCCATATTCCTCAGATACTGACATGGTGCCTTGGGGGGGGGGGGAGGAGTTGGACATTTTGCCAATTCAGAATAAAACTGCCCAGATGCCATTTTGCAGTCCAGTTCCCAGATGTGTTCAGGAAAACCCAGACGTATGGCAGCCCCACATAAGTACTAAAGAGATCAAATTAAGTGTGATGGTCTGGGACTCAGACTCAGACTCAGAACCAGAGGAGACTCAATCTGCACCGGATCCTTTGCCTCAGGCATCACCTGAACCAAGCCTGGGGCCTGATCCTGAAGAGTCCCAGTCTGCACAGGTTCCCCTGCAACAAACACCAGCTGGGCCGAGTCAGGGGCCTGAGCCTGCCCTGGCTCCAGATGCAGGGATTACCTCATTGCCTTCAGCTGGGCAATCACTTACAGCTGCTCAACTACCAGTTGGGTCAGGAGAGGCTGAGGTGGCCTCTGGGTCTAGTAACCCACATACGTCTCCCGAGCTGCAGAGACTAAGGTCTGAGAGAAGGAGAGACCTGAGTACTCACAGGAGGAATGCTCACCTTCGGGCAAAACAGGGAGGTGAGTCGCCGGGGGATCAGGACCGGCTGCTACCCCAACAAAGATAAAAGGCTGTCGGGCCCTGCCCCAGGTTGCGGGAGCAGCACTGCTGTATGCTAGATCCTGCCTGAGATCCTGTACCTGTCCTTGCCTTGCCTGGTTTCCTGCCTTGGCCCTGTTGGACTGACTCCCAGCAGTACCTTCAGATTCTGGACTGGTCGTGGACTGCGTTGCACGGGTTACCCTCGGGCCCAGCACATTAAGCTCTAGTGAGCATTTCAGCAGTTCTTCTACATCCTCACTTCCAGATGAACACACATCCCTCTTGCCCAGTATCAGCAAAGTATCCAACTAAGGTATTATCTTCACATTTGGACAAATGTGTGGTATTCCATGTTTAAATGATCCCTCGTATAAAGACTCCTTACTCATAGAAACTTAGCATGTAAGGGAGAAGACTGTAACTCTTCTTGGTGGACTAGCTTTCCATGCGCACTATTTTAAATTAACAGTAAAGGTAAAGGTAAATGGACCCCTGACCATTAGGTCCAGTCGTGGCCGACTCTGGGGTTGCGGCGCTCATCTTGCTTTATTGGCCGAGGGAGCCGGTGTACAGCTTCCGGGTCATGTGGCCAGCATGACTAAGCCACTTCTGGTGAACCAGAGCAGCGCACGGAAACGCCGTTTACCTTCCTGCCAGAGCGGTACCTATTTATCTATTTGCATTTTGACGTGCTTTCAAACTGCTAGGTTGGCAGGAGCAGGGACTGAGCGACGGGGGCTCACCCCATTGCGGGGATTTGAACCGCCGACCTTCTGATCGGCAAGTCTTAGGCTCTGTGATTTAACCCACAGCGCCACCCGCATCCCAAATTAATGGTACATGACCCCATCACCATCTTTTACATGTGTAAGTCAGGTGTGAGAAACCTCAAGCCCAGAGGCCAAATATGGACCTCCAGACCTCTCTCTCTGATCCTTGGGACTTTCCCCAGGCTGTGCTCCCTTCTTTTGAGGTCACTAGCCTTGCCCCACACCCTATTGAAGTTCTTTTGCCTGTGCAGAATGTGTCCTTGAATAAGGTTTCTTGCTTGCCTAGATGGAGAGAGGTATGTGTAGAAACTCCTATCTTTTGCCTGGCTGAACAAGAGCCTATTCCACAAAGGTGAAAGTCATATCCCTTTATTGACATGCACCTTCTCAAGGGTTGCACCCATGTTTTGCCCATGTGCCTGTTGCCTGTCATGTTTTCCTTACTGTGCAGATCTGCACTAAAAAGGCAGATTGAAAATCTCAACACCGCAGAGCTGTAAAATATCTTCAAACGGTTGTGCAATATACCGCAGCAAGGTAAACATCACATTTCATACCAAGTGTGTTGTAAAGTTTATAAGAATTCTAAACACAGCCTGCTGATTGCAACAAATGATGGCTTCTCCATGATACCACTTGTTTAGTGCCAGAGAACTTTCAAACAGCCATGAATCTGATGAATGTGGAAGAGAGGGGGAGAAAGCCACCTGTTTCCTCCTCATCCATCCTCAGCATAGGTATTGCTGGGCAAAGTTCGCCCACAATACACAGCGAGCACCTAATATGCAGTGCGCACACACACACACACACACAAGGCAAGTCCATCTTGTTCCCATCCATCGGTTTTATATGTGTGTGCGTTTAAAACAGAGTTTCTGCACAGACTGTCATCTTTCAACTTATGTCAGGTCTGGTGTGGATGGGCAAAGTAAGCAAAACGTTTTAACTCCCACCATGCATGCATCATAAATTCCTAATGGGCAGGAACTAAATAAATCCCACCGTGCATGCGACATAAATCTAAGTCTGTGCGTGCGAGTGATCCAAATCTCCAAGCTGCTGACATGCTGCAACTCCTATTTGGAACGCTCACCCGACAAGAATTCATAAACGCTCACAAATCTGTGTTGACTGGAAAACTTCTCGGGTGGCAGGTGTTGACCCCACTCCCTAGTCCTAGGGTTAGACATATAATTCAGGGAAGGAGAAGCCTTTATTCATTGCGATCAGGCATGCAAATAGCAATCAAGATGTAGGCATCATAATAGATGGGTGGGTGAAGAAATACACAGACAGGTTGTATACAATCTGACTCATTTTGCAGGGGGCTATTAAAATGGTTAAGGTACTTCCACTTGACTTAGATAGCTGAGCTACATATATATATACAGACCCTCCAAGTGTCCCTATTTTCCAGGGGTATAAATAAAATTGTCTTGTTGTTGTTGTTGTTGTTGTTGTTAAATAACTGGTGCCTGAACTTGCTTTTTCACCTCCCCTGTTATTCCTGTTTCCTCCTGTGCCATGTCTTTTTTTCAGATTGTAGTATCTAAGAGCAGGGATTTCTTTATAAGAATGTTACTTATTATGAAACTAATTTTAAAGAATTTATTTTTAAAAACTGATTTTTTGGTAAGCCAATGTGGCTTACTTTCTGACTAAAGGATGAGGCATATAAACACTTTGACTTACAGATGCTCAGTGTTTAAGATAACATGTTAGGTTAGGCCTTTGGGAACACGGTAATTACAAGTTGATGCATTAAAATAAAATAAGTTTCTCTTGGCAGGAGTTGGGTTCATTCTTCAGTTTGATAGGCAATCGGAGTTAAATGCCATTTTAATAAACTGCTTGATTTTCTGACTCTTTCAACAAACTCACCCTTGCTGGATACAAATCAATAGCTACTGCACACAAGAGAGTAAAAATAGAATGTGATTTTTAATTTAATATAATAAAAATGATTTATTTTATTTTGCAGTAACCAGTCACATGGAAGACTAGCATCTGCAATGAATGAAGCAGAGGATGGAAGAAAGGGAATTTGACGTAATAAACTTCTGTGAGGGGGAAAAACCCAGCATTTGAAGTAATGGCCTTTTTTGGATTTTGGCTTCTATATTGTTTGTTTGTTATTTGAAATTTCTATATCACACACACACATGTGTGTGTGTGTGTGTGTAATCAAATTAGTTCACAACCTAGATTAAAGCATCAAAATATCCACGCACACATACACAAACCTATTACAGTCTAGACTGAAATATAAAATACAGAGTTAAAGCAGCACTATTAACAGGGAAACAAAATATTTTCTTAAACTTAAAAAACTTGGTGCATAAAAATAAAATACAAAAATAAACTTGACTGTTGTAACTAACTAAACAAAATAATTGAGATAGAAGCTGCATCCACAACCCCACAACCCACAATATAGTAACATCTCCCAAATATATCCTGAACAATTCTCCCCATCCAAGACCCACTCTCATGCACTCCTCTCTTCTCATCCATGCCAAAAATTCAACTAATCCCCAGTCAACCTGGTAAAGGTAAAGGGACCCCTGACAATTAAGTTCAGTCGCAAACGACTCTGGGGTTGCGGCGCTCATCTCGCTTTACAGGCCGAGGGGGCTGGCATTTGTCCACTTCCCCAGACAGTTTTTCCGGGTCATGTGGCCAGCATGACTAAGCCACTTCTGGCAAAACCAGAGCAGCACAAGGAAATGCCGTTTACCTTCCCACCTATTTATCTACTTGCACTTTGACGTGCTTTCGAACTGCTAGGTTGGCAGGAGCTAGGACTGAACAATGGGAGCTCACCCCGTTGCGGGGATTCGAACCGCCAACCTTTTGATCAGCAAGCCCAAGAAGCACAGTGGTTTAACCCACAGTACCTCCCGCATCCCCATCAACCTGTTATTATAGAGCAAAGTAGGCATAATGTTATATGTTTGGGGGATCAGTCTGGGTGATATCTGTGGGTCCCTTCCAGGCCTGTGATCCTGGATCAAGGAAGCTTAGAATCCAGTAGAAGAGGCCACTGAACCAGTCAGAACAATCTCTTTGTAAAATAATGGCTTTAGCTGGCCAGTTAAGCACCACTATTTACATGACCAAAGAGACGGCTCTGTTGCCATAGAGACAAAGGCATGGCCTTTTCCCCACCTCATCTGGCTGGATGCCACATTATCCCAGGATGGAGAACAATAGACAAAGGGAGCTGTGTGTAACAGAGTTTTTGGCTGGCACTGGCAGCTGGAGTCAAAGAAGCGTGTCTTGCTCTGTGCTGGACCAAATGTTATTGTTTGGGCAATGCTTTTTTATATAGAAAAAGAGGTGCTGGAACTTGCCATGAACACCTCCCTCGTTCTCTTAGAACGGCAGTGGGGCTCACCTGAGAGGTGCCGGACCTGAGTTCCAGTGAGTTCTGGCTGGAAAAAAGGCCTGGGCTTGAGGATCTCTTTGAGAACCCGATGAGGAGCCCAGAGTTGTTGAAATGTTAATACTGTGAGCATATCCATCCTATGCTCAGGTTGTATATATATGTAAATAAACCATATATCCTATGGTGTGTGCACCTTATTCACCCACCTCTTTACAAACAGCAATACAGTGGTACCTCGGGTTACAGACGCTTCAGGTTACAGACTCCGCTAACCCAGAAATAGTACCTCGGGTTAAGAACTTTGCTTCAGGATGAGAACAGAAATCATGCTCCGGCGGCGCGGCAGCAGCAGGAGGCCCCATTAGCTAAAGTGGTGCTTCAGGTTAAGAACAGTTTCAGGTTAAGAACGGACCTCCGGAACGAATTAAGTACTTAACCCGAGGTACCACTGTATGACCACTCCATCACAGTTTCTCATTGAGGTAGGGCTGTATCTATTTGTTTTCATCTGATAAAGGTAAAGGGGGCCCTGACCATTAGGTCCAGTCGTGGCCAACTCTGGGGTTGCGGCACTCATCTCGCTTTATTGGCCGTACAGCTTCCGGGTCATGTAGCCAGCATGACTAAGCTACTTCTAGCGAACCAGAGCAGCACACGGAAACGCCGTTTACCCTCCCGCCAGAGCGGTACCTATTTATCTACTTGCACTTTGACATGCTTCCAAACTGGTAGGTTGGCAGGAGCAGGGACCGAGCAACGGGAGCTCACTCGGTCGCGGGGATTCGAACCGCCGACCTTCTAATCGGCAAGCCCTAGGCTTTGTGGTTTAACCAACAGCGCCACCCGCGTCCCTTTCATTTGATAGATTTTATCTATATCACACCTTTTTCTCCAAGGAGCTCCAAGTGACATACATGCTTCTTCCCCTCCTCATTTTAATTCCCACAACAACCCTCTGGGGTAGGTTAGACTGAGAGGTGGTGACTGGCCCCAGGTCATCCAGTGAGGTTCATGGCTGAGTAGGGGTTTGAACCCTGGTCTCCCAGGTCCCAGCCCAGCACTCTAACCAATACACCACACTGGTGCTTTACCATCTCATTCTCTTATAGTTAGTAGTACTGAGCAACTTTGACACACAAGAAATATGGCAACCCGGACTCTCAATCTAGACCAGAGCTTTCCAAACTTTTCATGTTGGTGACACGCTTTTTGGACATTCACTGTTTTGTGACGCGATAATTCAGTTTTTGGGATGCGGGTGGCGCTGTGGGTTAAACCACAGAGCCTAGGACTTGCCGATCAGAAGGTCGGCGGTTTGAATCCCCATGACAGGGTGAGCTCCCGTTGCTCGGTCCCTGCTCCTGCCAACCTAGCAGTTCAAAAGCATGTCAAAGTGCAAGTAGATAAATAGGTACCACTCCAGTGGGAAGGTAAACAGCATTTCCGTGCACTGCTCTGGTTCGCCAGAAGTGGCTTAGTCATGCCGGCCACATGACCCGGAAAGCTGTATGCCAGCTCCCTCGGCCAATAAAGCGAGATGAGCGCCGCAACCCCAGAGTCGGCCACGACTGGACCTAATGGTCAGGGGTCCCTTTACCTTTACCTAATTCAGCTTTACTAGGAAACCGGAGGTTAAATTAACCACTTAGGAGGAGCACGGGGAGCATTCACATGACACACCTACACACTGCAGCCAATACACGAACGTTTCACAACACACAGTTTGGAAAGCTCTGATCTAGGCAGTGAAAACACAGATCCAGCTGCCACCCCAAAATTCATCACTCATTTCTCCCATTGGAAAATGCATTCATCAGTCCAAAATTAAAAGAGGTGCTCACCTGCAGACCCCAAAAAGTCTTCATAGCAGCAACCTCCTTAATATATCCCAAATAAATAATTGCATTTTAACACACACACCCTTGGCTTAATACGCTTTATGTTCTTCAAAGCAGAGAATCATTCTTGTTTTGTGTGGAGTGGAAAAGAAAAAGATTGAAGCGACTAACAAGAAAGATTGTTTGGGAGGGGGGGTCGGAAGCCTGCCAAAGTGAGAATTCCATTCCCAGCAAAGAGCTCATCAGACAGATACCAAATGACCATTTCCTGGCAGATGTCTATTAGGAGGCTTCTAAGCATTATATTTTGTACAATTGAATCCAATCTAGAGAAGACACAGAGTTGCATTTACTTACTTGCTGCAATAAATTGGAAAACACATTGAATTATCAATCTCCTTTCAGGCTTGGAGGAACTTCAGAATGAATGGAGCCAGCCCGGCCATTAAGAAGAGTGAGAATGGAAAATTGGGTTCTGCGTGTCAGGTGCTAACTCGGGATTTGGCAGGCCAGTTGCCCAAAGCCAGGTGCTTAGTAAGCACATCCATGCGGAAGACTGTGCTAATGTTAGCGCCTTCCTCTGCGTGAGGCTCTTGTCCATTGCTTAGAGCTTCATGGCCAGATAACCTAAACAAAGCAGCCTTTTGTGTGATGAGCATATTCCCTGTCAGGATCAATTCTCTCTCGTCCCAAAGTTTGAGGCTTTTGTGAGTGCTCACCTCTGCCACCACCATCTGCTTGCCCTATTCTCAAAGGGAAAGAGAGGGTGGAAGCTCTGCTTCCTTGATCCATCTAGCACTAATATTATCTCCACTGAATAGCAGTGGCGCTCCAGGATTCCAGGTGAAGGACGCTCTCAGCCCTGCACAGAGATGCTTTCAATGGATGGATGGATGGATGGATGGATGGATGGATGGATGGATTTACAGTAGTACCTCGGGTTAAGAACTTAATTCATTCCAGAGGTCCATTCTTAACTTGAAACTGTTCTTAACCTGAAGTACCACTTTGGCTAATGGGGCCTCCCACTGCCACCATGCCGCCGCGGCATGATTTCTGTTCTCACCCTGAAGCAAAGTTCTTAACCCGAGGTACTATTTCTGGGTTAGCGGAGTCTGTAACCTGAAGCATCTGTAACCCGAGGTACCACTGTATTTAACTAACTAACTAACTAACTAACTAACTAACTAACTAACATGATTGATATACCACTGGATTGTAACAAAACCTCAAAGCAGTTTGCAACAACAAAAAGAATAGGACTGTCAGAAGGTCGGCAGTTCGAATCCCTGTGACGGGGTGAGCTCCCGTTGCTCGATCCCTGCTCCTGCCAACCTAGCAGTTCGAAAGCACGTCAAAGTGCAAGTAGATAAATAGGTACTGCTCCAGCGGGAAGGTAAATGGTGTTTCCTTGTGCTGCTCTAGTTCGCCAGAAGCGGCTTAGTCATGCTGGCCACATGACCCGGAAGCTGTATGCTGGCTCCCTCGGCCAATAATGATAAGCCAATAACCAGATTAAAATGCATGCCCAATTTTCTGCATAGCTGAATAGGCTTGCCTGAGAAAAAATATTTTTAGCAGGTGCCTAAAAGAGCACAGCAAAGGAGCCTGCCCCACATTAATAGACATGGTGCTGCAAGGAGAGGGCAAACCAGAGCTGGTGAGCCAAACAGGGAGACCTAGAGAGCCACATTTGGCCACCAGGCCTGAGGTTCCCCGCTCCTAGCCTGACAGAACACATTGTGCATGCTATTTTCAGTAACAAATGCATTTCCATGCACATCTCTCCCTCCCCCGTGTACATGTCTGCACACATCATTTGGTTGAAGAACTGCATCACAAAATTCAGAGAAGTGTGAATTCCAGCTTGAATGTTGTTTTGGGAAGTTCAAATCAGCTAGGCTCACACTAAAAGATGAACCAAAACAGATTTCTCTCCCACTTCTTGGTGGGGAGTTGAATTTCCAAGCAGCTTTTCAGCTTTGGCATGTTTAGCCTGGAGAAGAGGAGGTTAAGGGGTGATATGATAGCCATGTTCAAATATATAAAAGGATGTCACATAGAGGAGGGAGAAAGGTTGCTTTCTGCTGCTCCAGGGAGCGGACATGGAGCAATGGATCCAAACTACAAGAAAGAAGATTCCACCTAAACATTAGGAAGAACTTCCTGACAGTAAGAGCTGTTTGACAGTGGAATTTGCTGCCAAGGAGTGTGGTGGAGTCTCCTTCTTTGGAGGTCTTTAAGCAGAGGCTTGACAACCATATGTCAGGAGTGCTCTGATAGTGTTTCCTGCTTGGCAGGGGGTTGGACTCGATGGCCCTTGTGGTCTCTTCCAACTCTATGATTCTATGATTTGGCAAGTCCTGGGAATGAGAATTCCCCAGGGGGCAATGCAATAGGGCTCACGCATGCAGCACCATCCGCACACATATGTCAACATTACAAGCTGCGAGCGAACTCCCAGGGAACGTATGCTTTTTCTGAATGTTCACTGATAATTAAGCCAATTCGAGATCAAGCAATCCCAAAGTGAGGCAGATGGCCTCAAGGGCTGTATCCCAGTTTGCTGAACTTAGCAACAGAGGAAGCTGCCTTATACCGAGTCAACCCAATGGTCCATGTAGCTCAGTATTGTCTACACTGATGGGCAGAAGCACAACAGGGTTTCAGACAGGCAGCGTCTACTAACTCTACCCAGAGAGGCCAGGTATTGAACCCGGGATCTTCTGCATGCAAGGCTGGTATCCCACCACTTAGCTATGTCCCTCGCCCCAAACAGACATGTTTCATCAAATTAAGAGGAGAAAGGGTTGGTCATTTATAGAGGTGCATAATTTAAACGGTTTCTCTGGTTGACATCAATGCATTGGAGTCAGGATTGGAGGGGCAGAAATTCCGGGCCCCACAGCCATGTGGCATAAGGTAAAGGTAAAGGACCCCTGAACGGTTCAATCCAGTCAAAGGCAAGTATGGGGTTGCGGTGCTCATCTCCACAGGTCATGTGGCCAGCATGGCTGAACTGCTTCTGGTACAATGGGAAACCAGGAAACCAGAGCACATGGAAATACCATTTACCTTCCCGCTGCAGCAGTACCTATTTATCTACTTGCACTGGTGTGCTTTCGAACTGCTAGGTTGGCAGAAGCTGGGACAAAGCAACGGGAGCTCAGCCCGTCGTGTGGATTAGAACCACTGACCTTCTGAACAGCAAGCCCAAGAAGCTCAATGGTTTAGACCAAAGCACCACCTGCATCCCGCTCCATGTGGCATACCACATTTTGAAGTAGATGAAGTAATATGCATTGTGTATGGCATGGGGTGAAGTTGTAGACCATTAAGGCTATCACCTACATGTGATACTTTCATTGCAGGCGGTTGGGCCAGATGTTCCACTGGGGCCCTTCCAATCCTACAATTTCCTTATTCTGTGATTTTATTATTCTAAGTCCAGAGTCTAAAATTACCTAACTGCACCACGACTGGTTGAGCCAGCTAAGTGCGCCATTTATTTCATTCTTATTCATTTGTCCATTCAAGAATTTATAAACCAATCTACATTCAGAGAAAGACCAAATGATATACAGAAATATAGAAAGCAGAAAACAGAAATAAAATTGAGGTAATTTAGGGAAGGCTTGGGAGAAAAGAAAAGTTTCCAATGAGCCTCTAAAAGATAACCATGCCAGAGCTTGCTTCCTTTCTAGGGGTCGGGAAATTCCAGAGAACTGACGTTGCCACAGTGCTAAAGGTACTTGCTTGAGACACAGCATGCTTTGATGTGGGGGTTTTCATCAGGCATAAACATACTTTCATCCACAGATCTTAAACGATGGGGGTTGGATGTAGTGGGAGACTTGGCTTATCAGATATACTGGTTTGGAACCGCACAGGGCTTTGTATCCCACTACTAGATAGAAACAGTTTATCCGGTGGGGCACTGCCACTTACCATGAGGCAAGAGGGGTTTGGCAGCAGGAAGGCTGGCATGGTGTAAATGCACAGGCAGAGCCAACCCAGCACTCTTTTCCCCCCAAAAAAATTGTTTATTGATTTTCCGAATTTATAACAAATACAATGCACAAAAAAGAAAAACATCACAATATTAAAAAGAAAAACAAACATATAAACACCTAACCCTTCTAAAAACCCAATTTAAATTTCATTGTTAAGTGACTTCCTCAAATCCCCCCTAACTGAATTTCAATGAGTCGCCTTGTAACAGTTTTCCAATATCCACTTTCTAATGAAATTAACTCATTCAGATTACTATCTTCCTTCCTTTTCATAATATTCTCAATCCATATTATTATACAATTAAACATACTTTAATCCTAGGCCACTTTGGTAATTCTACTTATCTTATATTAGAGTATCTAGCTAAATAATCTTTAAATTTCATCCAGTCTTCTTGGTATTCCTCCTCGTTCTGATCGCTGATTCTTCCAGTCAGGTCGGCCAGCTCCAAAACGTCAAGCATCTTCATCTGCCATTCTTCCACTGTTGGTATGTCTTGCAATTTTCAATTTTTGGCTAACAAAATTCTTGCTGCATCTAAAGTTATAATATGTTAAATTAAAGGATTAAGACAAAAACAAAGAGGGAAAGGAATTGCTGAATTAACTAATAGAACTGGAAGACAAAAAAGGGAGGTGTGAGGAAGTCAGGGAAGTAAGGAAATGAAATGTAAGTTATGGAAAGATTGATGTGTTGTTGTTTTTTTTAAGTGTTTTCTATCTTTTTTCTGTATTTTGTATTTTGTATTTTTTTCTTTTTATCTCTTTCTTTTCTTTTTTCTTTTTATCTATGTAATTTTTTCTTTGAAACTTTAATAAATATCATTTTAAAAAAAAACAAAATTCTTGCTGCAGTTGTGGCATGCAAAAACAATCTAGCATCTTTTGGGGGCAATTCCAATCCCATTATTCCAAGTAGAAAGGCTTCTGGTTTCTTAATAAATGTATATTTCAACTTTTTTTTCAATTCATTATAATTTTTTCCCCAGAAGTTTTTCACCTTCGGACAGGTCCACCACATGTGATAAAAGGTACCAACCCAGCACTCTTGCTGGTGCACTTGCACTGCACCAACCTTCCAAATGCCTCACCTCTCCCAGAAAGCAACAATAATGCCCTTTCTGGGAGTCTAGCATAGCAGCTCTGCCCCACCAAGCACACCATCAGTCTAGCTTGGTAGAAATTTTTTCTTCACATCTACACCCCTAATGGACAGGGATGGTAGAGTGCTAAACCACTACTGCTTGCCATGCGGCATAAGTAAGGTAAATGCAACACACAGCCTTCCTTCCTTAAACCTGAATTATTTCAATTCTTTTCATGAAGCACCACCAAAAGAAATGCGCTTCACCAACTTATCCCCTGAGAATGGGGTGGGTGGGTCTTGGAGTGGGGGGGGAAAGCATTTTGCAATAGCCCTGAATAGCGTAAGGTGGTGCTAAGTGTTTGCTGTTGCACCCCCTAAGCAATCTTGCTGAATCAGGCCCTCACGCTTGCTTGACATGACCCCCAAAAAATATTCTCATTGTAGAGCCTGGCCAAATTAACAGGTAATTGAAACGGGTAGGTATCAAATTTGGCCTGTGCGGTAAAAGTTTCCCACTTTTTGTCATAGCAGCAGATGTCAGTCCCATAACAGGTGCCCTATTTTGGATCTCCACTGACATCCCATCTTCTGCATAATCGTGAGGGACAAGAACTTAGGCAGAAAGAAATCCAATTTCCTCAAGTCAGATTGACACAAATCTGCATGGAACTCGCAAATCGGCACTGCCCACTCCTGTCTGGTTTACCCTTTTCATTGCTGTTTTGTTTATCTCCTTTCTTAATTGGGATGTTGGCTAATATTTCTTCCCTGATTTTATATAAGCCCCTTCGATTATTCCTTGATTCCACACCTGCGCAGAGGGACATCTCATTATGCAATCTAGAAATCCCCAATATGATTTCACAGTTTCTGGATTCATATTGCTCAGCTGATATGAGACCATTGTCAACAGCCGACGGGTTTCAAAGCAGCCAATAATCAGTTGGGTAAATTGCCATTTGTCGTCTTTTTTGGACTTAACGTTCTCTGGGACCAGAGAAACCCATCAGCGATCGCCTTGGGCATGATACGCCCTGCTTAATTGCTATAACAATCAGGCCCTCTGTGGTGCTTATGGAGCAGAGCTGCAAAACCTTGAAGAAAGCAAATGAATATCGACTTGCCAGTGATAGAAATGACGCACCTCTGGAGGATTCCTGGTGTTAGCCGAAGACAGAAACTGAGAAGTAATGACACCAGAAAGCATGCTGTGAATAAAAAAGGAGAAGCCACAAGCTGTCAAGGAAAGAATAGAAACTGTTGCTAAGTGGGAGGTACATTTATCTCACCTTTCACACCAAAGGAAGAAAAAAAGGCATTGTTCCCTTGAAGAAGAAGAAAATCCACTCCAGCAAGGTATGCTAATAAATGCCAAGGCAGTGCTGCAAAGAACCCAACATGGATTTATCATCTTGTCTTGTTTTAGGGAAATGGGGCATCCTTTGCCATACATAGCAGTGAAATACCTGGGTGTCAGGGACTGGCTGGTGAACCCCCAAGGGAAGCCCTAGAGGAGGAAGGCTCAGAGCCTGGGAATTGGTGATGTGATGCCGAGGAGAGGTCAGAGGGAAAAGAGTGGAGTCCTGAAGGGGCAACAGGATTTAGTGAGCAGAGAGACACTGTGACAGGAACCAGTTCGGACTCAGAGGCTGAAGCAGAAGAGGGAGAGGGCAAGAGGCTGCAGAAGAACCTGTCTCTCCTACTGTGACAAACTCCCCTCCTCTCTTGTCTCCAAGGATGCTCAGATGCTGTTGGAGACTGCTTGGAAAATAACCAACAGAGGAAGATGAAGAAGAGAAGAAGAGGTTGGATTTGATATCCCGCCTTTCACTCCCTTTAAGGAGTCTCAAAGCGGCTAACATTCTCCTTTCCCTTCCTCCCCCACAATAAACACTCTGTGAGGTGAGTGAGACTGAGAGACTTCAGAGACGTGTGACTAGCCCAAGGTCACCCAGCAGCTGCATGTGGAGGAGTGGAGACGCGAACCCGGTTCACCAGATTACGAGACTACCGCTGTTAGCCACTACACCACACTGGATGGGTTAGAAGGCGGGAACCACCAGTCCTGGCAACTGCTCCATAGGGCAAGATCTACCGAGAGTGTTTCTGGGTGTGTGTTCAATGCCTTGAATAGAAAGTTAACTTCAAGGACCACTCGTTCTGCTTCTTCTGCTGACTGCATCTAACTCCAGCCCTGGCATTGGGCACAGAGATGTTTGGGTCTTGTGTGAGTATACCCATGAGAGTGAAAAAGACACCTCCCTCCTGCAATTTATACATGATTGTGATGTCCACATAAAAAATGGCACCATCTTTGAATGCTTTCTGCTGATGGGTCAAGAGGCATCTTTTTCATCCAGGCCTCTGGAAACAGAGGCGATAGCCATCATAGCTATTCACAACCATAGCTAATGGTTTTAATTTTTAGCATTACATGGCTATGCTGGTTGTTGTAAGCTAGAGGAAGCTCATGTGGTGTCCTCAAGATATTGTGGACTCCGCTTTCCATTATCCCTGATCATTGGCCATGCTGGCTGGGACTGATGGGAGCTGGAGTCCAGTGACACTTGGATGGCACCAGGCTGACTATTTGTGCCTTATGTTGCGCCATCTCACCAGAAATCAGGAGGATCACAACTTCAGTAGGGAATGGGACAAATACAGATTGTACTTAAAAGAACACTGTAATCACTTGAGCTCTTTGGCAGGCTTTCAATAACTCTTGCAATGTTACAAAGGTTTTGGATGTTTCGCAGGACTATAATGTGGATGGATTATAATATGCAGTTGTTTTAGAGATACAAAGGACCCACAGAGGAGAGGAGATTCAGAAGAATCTTGTTTGATGTTAAAATCTAAATGTGTTAAATGTGAGATTTATTTTGTAAAACCAATAAAAATCATTTCAAAAAATAATAATATTTGTGTCTTATGTTATATGTAACCTTCCCTGGACCCCCTTGGTGACGGACAGGCTATACATTATATAACAGCTACAACAACACTGACCCTAAGCCTACTTTATTCTTTTTTCTGCCTGAATAGAACGGCAGGCTGTGGGGGATAGGAGGTTGCCAGGTACCTGAGAAGCCACAATTCACAGCTGTTAGCTTATGTTCAGTTTGGTACATCACAAGTGGTGCAGGCTACTTCGCCCCTCTCAACAAAAGTAACCTCTGTTTCGGTACCTTAATGAGACTCTAGAGAACGTCATCGGGCACCTCCCATACTATTTTACTGTAGTGATGCCTGCTTAGTATACACGCTGTAGGCTGATCTGGAATAAACTCAAAATTGCAAATGCAGCTGATCTCCAAAAAGTAGCTGCAAGCCAAGAAGACAGCTTTTGTTTAGCAGTCGGTGCTACCCAATTAAGTTCTGCAAATAAATAGACAAACACTATTTGGGTCTCAAGTTGGTTTGAGATTTGTTTTTATTTAGGTGGAGAGAAATGCCATTTTGCATGCCAAGCTTGTGTTGTCAACCTAGGCCATTAGAAGCAAAGTGAAATAAACATAGCATGTGCCCTTGATTCGGAACAAGGCAGTGTGCTGGGGGATTATCACATGAGTGTTTTGTCTGCTCTCCAATTCACCAAAGGTCTGCTTCAAATGTTATGTGAGAAGTGTGGTTGCCCGTTTCTATATCAGCCTTGTAGGATCAGACCAAGATTTCTCTGCAGTAGGGATGGATGGATCAGCCTGGTATCGTTCCATTGAGACATGCATACCATACATTTAATGTACCTGGCTCACCCCATCCCATCCCACCAAAAAAATCCTGGGAGCTGTACTTTGTTAAGGGCGCTGAGAACTGCAGCTTTGTTAAGGTTAAGCTACAGTTCCATGGATTCTCTGGGTAAATCGTTTCCTTCCTAAAAGAGGGCACATTTGTGGCGAGACCTGGAGACTGACCTCCTGGTTGTGGGTGGGTATATTGGACAGCCACAACACCCATTGGTATGTCCCTCATTGCTGGGTTTAATCTGGCCAACGGGGTGCAGTCTAAATGGATCAAGGGACCTATAAATACCTATGCACTTGACCCATAGCTTCCTATTTCGACTCGTGCATCAGAAGACCCGCCCACTTCTCCCTACTTTTAGGGCATTTTGCAATTGACCTTTCTATGCTTTCGTGTGTCGTCTGTCATTGGGACAGGGGCACAGCAGGAATTTTCCCCACTTGGCTAATTGGCTGTTGCCATTTGGGTTCCACCTGCCGCATAGCAAATCATCACAGCTTGTAAGGTTGTGGATAGGCACTGGTTCAGGTGACAGGGATGGGAGAACGGTCTCGCCATCCTTATGTGAAGGGTATTCTGTTAAAGTAATCTAGGGACTCAACTTGGTTTGGTCAAGAGGTGGTTGTGCCATGCCTTGAGTCCAGGGGAGCATCTAGGGAGTGAAGAGAGTCTGTTCCCGGGCTTTTCACCTACCTCAGGTGTTCACCCTTGGCTGACCTATGCTGGTGCCCTGGGTCAGCGCTACCTGCAAGGGTGCAGGGAGCTAGTCGAACCAGAGCCTATGCAACCAGTCACTTTTCTGTAATCAATAAAGTTGTGGCCTAAATTCTGCCAAAAACCAAAACTAAAATTTGAGTCCAATGTGTGTTTATTTATGGGGGAGGTCTCTGGGTCTTATGCATTCAGTCGTAAGTCTGTTCTACCCCATTTCCTGAGGAATGCAAAAGCACACCAAAAATGCATTTGAATTGTGCACATTTTGTACATATGTATGCATTTCCCTTCTAAAATACACATTTTTATGCATGCATTGCTATGATTCCCCACCAAGATGCGAATTTTGTATGAATTTGTCATAACCCAAACTTTATTGCTCATTGAGTCACAGGGATTTAAAATAGAACCTTGAAAACAGCTTGAAACAAATTAGAAACACAAGAATAGGGTGGGTCCTAAAAAATACATCTCAAGTGTCAAAGGCCAGGATAAAAAGGTGAATCTTCAGCATATGTCAAATACGGTATAGTGAAGGTGTCAGGCAAACCTATGTGGGGAGGAATTTCCACAACTTTGTTACAAGCCATGACTCTGAACCATGAAGAACCACTGGGAGACTCCCTGGAAGGTTTCAGAGATTGAGCAGGGATGTCAGGAATCTAGGTGAAGAACCATTGGTTCCCTATCCCTGGTCCCTGCCCCAGCTCACTGAGGGAAAGGAGGCACTGGGGTGTTTTAAGCTTAAAATAAAACATTTCCTTCCTTTTCTTAACACAGCTGAATGACAGTTGGAGGCTCAAAAGGGCTTTTCCACCAAATGCTCACATCTTGAGTAAACAGCTCTTGAGGGTTTTAAGCCACAGCTGAAATGAAAGGTCGTGCTCCTTAAAAAGCAATGTTTAAGCACATTTTCTTCAGCACGCAGAACAGTGGTGTGAGCTGCCAAAACCACACACACAAAAAAACCTTCCAGGAAGAGGACTTGACATTTAATAGCCACAGACATTTTCTTTCTTCATTTATTTATTGACCGCATTTCTTTGTCTCTTTTCCATGAAGTGATGAAGGCAATATAAACTGCCATTGCAATTAGAAGCGTCGCATTGGCTTGTTTCGTTTTTCTTTAAAAGCAGCAACATCAAATGAAAGAAGCAGCAAGGGTTGGTTACCTTCAGTATCGTCTGTGAACAGAGATAGAGACCCAAGGTCAACCTTCCAGCTTGGTTGGGGCCCAGAGACAAGGTAGCTGGAACAACAAAGGTGATTCTTAACCTTTGTACAGTCACCTACCCTCCAGGTATGCAGAAGCCCCATTTCTACACCCATACATCTCTCCATCTAGACAAGCAAGAGGGAGGTGGGTTTTGCCCAGAGCAGACCCACTAAAATTAATGAGCATGAGTAAAGGTAAAGGGACCCCTGACCATTAGGTCCAGTCGTGGCCGCTTCTGGGGTTGCGGCGCTCATTTCACGTTATTGGCTGAGGGAGGTGGCGTACAGCTTCCGGGTCATGTGGCCAGCATGACTAAGCCGCTTCTGGCAAACCAGAGCAGCACACGGAAATGCCGTTTACCTTTCTGCCGGAGCAGTACCTATTTATCTACTTGCACTTTGACATGCTTTCGAACTGTTAGGTTGGCAGGAGCAGGGACCGAGCAATGGGAGCTCACCCCATCACAGGGATTCGAACCGCCAACCTTCTGATCGGCAAGCCCTAGGCTCTGTGGTTTAACCCACAGTGCCACCTGCGTCCAATGAGCATGAGTAAGTTCCATTAATTTCAATAGGTCTACTATGAGTCCAACTTGATTGAGTGACAGCCACAGGTCTAGGAGAGGGCAAAGCATACCCAGTGAGGGGCATGACGGTTATAATGCTCGTGGCCTGGGCTGGAGTATGTATTGGTGAGGGCCAGATAGACAGGTCTGGGGGCCGCATTTGGCCACCAGACCTGAGCTCCCCACCACCACCACCACCTTGTTCTGCAGCCAAGATTATCAGTGTAGGAGCAATTCCTCATTACTAACCCTGATGAATTAAGCAATCTTTGGAGACCCAGGTTCCACATCCCGTGATCACATCTGTAAGGAGAGGCTGCAGACGAGGACAAAGATTGTCTTTTCCAAAACAAGGGTGCAGAGTTGACTTCATATATATTAAACAAACAAGCAAAGCTATTCAGTCAGCTTCAAAGGTTACCTGTCAAGCATGCTGTTCTGTAAACAAAACACCAAGCCATTTTCAATAATACTATTTACAAAATTAGCCATCACACGCCTGGTGCTGACAGAAGTCTTCATGCTACCCTTTAAATCTGCTGCCTATCTAATTTCATGCCAAGGTCTTAATCTACAATTATAGAGTGGCTGGCCAGTGGATGCACATCTGAGTACCAATTTTCAATAATTACTACTTTTAGTGTTATTTATGAGTGGTCTTTGGACCTTATTCAGACAAACTCCAAAGTAAATTGCTCCCATAGGCCTGACCTCAGCCACAGACTCTAATTATCGGTAGTTAGCTGTAGCAAACAGTCAGATGAATAGCTGTTTCCTAAGCCATGGCTGTCTAAACTTCTGCTCCCCCTTTAATAGAGCCAGCTAAACCCTAGCTAACCCTGATGAATTAAGCAATCTTTGGAGAGCCAGGTTCCACATCCCGTGATCTAAATGGATAGACCATGAGGCAATGAGAATTGTCAGGCTGGGTATTAGTAAGAAATATGAGCATATGAATTTGTGCCGCTCTGCACCTGACAGAGCCCGGCAGGCAGGAAGGCAGATTTCATTTCTCGCTGGGACAATTCAAACACACGAACGTTTTCAACAAAGGAGGCCCCTGGGCCCAAAACTTGCAAACATTTTCCTCATGGATAGAGCATTTTAACCTAACAGATATGCTGTGGGTATTCCACTCCCTTTTCAAGGCAGAACTTCCAACGATGGGGATAGTTGGCAGGGTTAGGAGTCAGTTCTGAGGTAAATTCATCTGCTGTCCTGGTGGTAATGATAAGCAACCTTGTTTTAACGGAAGACATGAGGCAGAACTAAGGTTAAAATTGGCAGAAATGACAGCTCTGGGCCAGGTTCCTCCCTCTCTTACAAATAGTTCAGCGACTTGCCTCTTGTCATGGCACCATTACAGGAAGGCTACACCAACACCATACATTTTAAGCACTATCGTGTACCACTTTAACAGTCATGGCTTCCCCGCAAGATCATAAGTGTGATGGCCTGGGACTCAGATTCAGAACCAGAGGAGTCTCAGTCTGCACCGGATCCTTTGCCTCAGGCATCATCTGAACCAAGTCTGGGGCCTGATCCTGAAGAGTCCCAGTCTGCACTGGTTCCCCTGCAATAAACACCAGCTGGGCCGAGTCAGAGGCCTGAGCCTGCCCTGGCTCCAGATGTGGGGATTACTTCATTGCCTTCAGCTGGGCAATCACTTAGAGCTGCTCAACTACCAGTTGGGTCAAGAGCGGCTGAGGCGGCCCCTGGGTCTAGGAACCCACCGATGTCTCCCAAGCTGCAGAGACGAAGATCTGAGAGAAGGAGAGACCTGAGTACTCACAGGAGGAATGCTCACCTTCGGGCAAAACAGGGAGGTGAGTCGCCGGGGAATCAGGACCAGCCGTTACCCTGACAAAGATAAAAGGCTGTCAGACCCTGCCCCAGGTTGTGGGAGCAACATTGCTGTATGCCAGATCCTGCCTGAGATCCTGTACCTGTCCTTGCCTGGTTTCCTGCCTCATGTCCTGCCTTGACCCTGTTGGACTGACTCCCAGCGGAACCTTCGGATTCTGGACCGGATCTGGACCACAGTTCTCGCGTTACCCCCGGGCCCAGCACAATAAGAACACAAGAGTGGCCTGCTGGATCAGGCCAATGGCCCATCTAGCCCAGCATCCTGTTCCTACAGTGGGCAACGAGATGCCTGTGGGAAACCTGCCCGCAGGATCTGAGCTCAAGAGCTTTCTCACATCTGTTTCGGCAACTGGCATTCGGAAGCCTAGTGCCTCCAACCATGGAGCCAGAGCAAAACCATCATGGCTCATAGCCACTGATAGACTTCTCCTATACGAATTTGTCTGGTCCTCTTTTAAAGCCATCAAAGTTGGTGGCCATCACCACCACCTCTGGGAGTGACCTCCATAACTTAACTATGCTCTGCATGAAGTATTTTTTTTTTAATCTGTCCTGAAGGGTTGGAGCTGTAGTTTGTTTTTCGTTTTGTTTTTGCATTTTTATTGATTTTTTAACATATCAGTTCCAACAGTCATACAACATATCTTCTCATCTTATCCAGTGTTTTAGACTTCCGTCAACACCTCTGATGATTTTCCGTTCTTTATCACTTATTCTGCATTTCTTAATTTCTATATTGCATTTAATTCTCCTTAACTAATAATTCTTTTCATAGTCTTTCTTGTAATATTTCAGATAAGCCACTTTACAAAACTTCTTGCAGTCCTAGGAGCGTAATCTGTTCATCACAATTACTTTTCAAATAGTTCATATATTTACTCCAGTCCTCTAAGAATCTCTGATCCTGCAGGTTCTGAATCCTTCCTGTTAATTTATCTAATTTTGCATTGTCCATCAATTTCATCCTCCATTCTTCTTTTGCTGGTAATTCTTCTTGCTTCCATTTTAGTGCCAATAATATATGTCGTTGCATATAAAAACAGCTTACAATCCTGTCTGTTAATATCATCTCCTACAATGCCAAGTAAAAAAGCTTCTGGTTTCTTAATAAATGTATATTTCAACATCTTTTTCATCTCATTATATATCATTTCCCAGAAGCTTTTCACTTTTTTATATTCCCACCATGAGATAAAAAGTTCCTTCTGGAGCTGTAGTTTGTTAAGGGTGCTGGGAAATACTAGGAGACCCTCTATTCTCCTCACAGAGCTAAAATTTCCAGAGTTTTCCAGGAAGAAGAATTATTAAACCACTCTAGGAATTACAGCCCGTGACGGGAATAGGGGGGTCTCCTATCACCTCTCTACAACCATAACAAACTTCAGTTCCCATGATTCTTTGGGAAGAGCCATTACTATTGAAGTGTCCTATAAGTGCTTTGAATGGCACAGAGGTGGCCACCCCTGGCAGCGGTAATAGTGAAATGGATCAGGGTCAGCCCAATGTAGTGCTAATATAGGGTTGTGACGTGTTTCTCAGCTCAAGGGCCACATTCTGTCATGGACAACCTTTTGGAGGCCATAAGCCTTTTGCAAGTGGGTCCTGAACCAAAACTGAGGGAGACTGGAAGCAAAAGGGAGCAGAATGATGTACTTCTTACAGCAGGCCACATTCCTCTCACATGAAAGCCAGAACTTTCTACCCCACCAACATGTGTGCATACACATTTCTCCATCCTCTCTTGAGGAAAGCATGAGGCATTATCACAGTTCAAGGACACATCCAGATAGGCAAAAACACTCAGGGCAGGGCCAGTGGAAGGTATGGTCTGGGGAAAGTGCTGGTGAGGGCCACAGGTTGGGGGTTCCTCACCTCTGATGTGATGACATCAGGTAGGTAGAAGAAGATACTGCTTCAACATATTTATTAAATTTGTGTCCTGCCCTTCCTCCTGAAGGAGTCTAGTAGGACAACACATTCAGGACAACACATTTAAAAAGCAATACAAAATGAAACTTTACCTCAAGGTGTGGAGTGAGATGGGAAACATGACTCAGGGACTCCTGTTTTCAGTATTGTGTGTGTGTATGTGCTTGAGGGATTTTTGAGGGTTTTGCTTTGTCCACATCTTTAAGCCTGATTTGCACTTCCCAGACCAACATGTGGCTTAGAACCTCACAATGTGCATCCTTTGATTTTCATACTTCTCTGAATTTTGCAGCACAGTTCTTGGTTCAAAGAATGTACCCAAAACAGACATTGAAAATGAGTATTTAGACTTTACACGTGTACAAAAAATGTGTACTTATGGGGGGGGAGGGTGTTTGGAATACTTCCAAAACTGCTAAATCTGTGGGTGCATTTAAATCTTAGGATGAGGCAAAAATGGCCTTGCGAACAAGTGCATGCAAAGCTGACAGGGAATAAACAGGAATCACTTTATCCCTGGTATGTGGATATTGGTTTGTTTTTTGTCGCTCTGGCCTTAGTTTTCAAGATTCATTAAAAAAATTAATTAGCCGAGAGGCCGTCCACAAAAATTGGCAGGAAATTTCATCTTATTTACTATGTAATTGCCTTTGATTTCACATTAAAATAGTCCCTTTGCAAACATAGGAGCTCTTACTGGCCTAAACAAACAGTATTGAGCTTCATTGAAGGTTTAAACTGCCCAGAGTACTTTTGTTATTTGGAACAGAATATAAATACTGAAAATAAATAAATACAATCGTGAACAAGGTTGCTGTTTAACTGCAATCTGAAAGTGCTATTCTGGAGTGAATTTCACATGCTGGGTTGAAAGGGGCACACTTTGTTGTTGTTTAGTCGTTTAGTCGTGTCCGACTCTTCCTGACCCCATGGACCAGAGCACGCCAGGCACTCCTGTCTTCCACTGCCTCCCGCAGTTTGGTCAGACTCATGTTTGTAGCTTCGAGAACACTGTCCAACCATCTCATCCTCTGTCATCCCCTTCTCCTTGTGCCCTCCATCTTTCCCAACATCAGGGTCTTTTCCAGGGAGTCTTCTCTTCTCATGAGGTGGCCAAAATATTGGAGCCTCAGCTTCATGATCTGTCCTTCCAGTGAGCACTCAGGGCTAATTTCCTTAAGAATGGATAGGTTTGATCTTCTTGCAGTCCATGGGACTTTCAAGAGTCTCCTCCAGCACCGTAATTCAAAAGCATCAACTTTAACTCTACACTTTAACTCTAGTTAAAATTGGTGCCACCAATTAAGAGCTTATGGGCAGGAGAGAGGGACAGAAATCTGCTCCAGGAAAGGAATGATCTTTGCTGAGAGAGTCTGATGATGGTTCCTGATATATTAACCATGGTTAGCAATGAGTCAGGATTATAGTCTTCCTTTGCAAAATAACCACACACCGAGACAGAGACATTTGCATTCAGCAAATATCCACACAAACGTACGACAATGTGATCTAAAAATATGTCATGTGCTAAGTGACACGCCATATGTTCTCTCTGCCCCACGAAAACAGGTACTTTTCATTGCACAATAGACTTAAATTAATGCGTCAGAGCATCTGACAAGCTTTTAAGTAGATATATACATCAAGGACTTGCATTTCCCACAGCCAGCCTGTCATCCTTGATTATATTTTGCCAGACTTTCCCCCCATCCAAAGATGGCTTTGTTTATTAAACCCAAAATACCAGAGGCAGTTTGCTGTTGCAGCAAATTGCTTGAATTTTTATTTGTGGGAATTTATTTTCCATAAAACACATAATGGAAAGTAATTTAGATCAGTGTCGCAGGCATTACCTGCAGAAGGAGATCTGGAATAGATATCTTTGCAATATGCATTAAAACTGACAAAGTCACCCAGGCAGAGAGAGGACACAGGTATGAGGACACATCCTTTGTTGCTGATCTATGCTACATCGCACCACACTGCTCCTCTAGAGATGGGGATTGTGTTAAACAAGGCAAACCAATCAATACAAATGCATGAAGCTGCCATATACCAAATTGAACTGTTGGCCCCACCTAGCCCAGTATTCCCCACACGGGTTGGCAGCAAAGAAGCAAAGGTGAGCAGAGCGATGGATGCTTATTTTGCCTTTCCGCACCAGGCTTGCTTTTAAACACACACACTTCTCTAAGCTTCACCCAAGCAAGCAAAGAAGAATTATCAGAATCCAAGGACACATTCCAGATCGGGGGGCGAGGGGGAAAATACTTGTGGGGCTAGTGAGGGGTGCAACCTGGAAAGAAGGAGTGTGGCTGCGAAGGAATATGGCCTGAAGAGACTCCAGGGGCCACACAGATATGGAAGGCCACATTCAGAACCTGGGCTTAAGAGTCCCCATCCTTGTCATATACTGCTCCCAGTATATATGTTCTCATATATGTGCTCCCGGTACGTTTCCGAGCACAATTCAAAGTGTTGGTGCTGACCTTTAAAGCCCTAAATGGCCTCGGTCCGGTATACCTGAAGGAGCATCTCCACCTCTATCGTTCAGCCTGGACACTGAGGTCCAGCGCCGAGGGCCTTCTGGTGGTTCCCTCACTGTGAGAAGCCAAGTTACAGGGAACCAGGCAGAGGGCTTTCTTGGTAGTGGCGCCCTCCCTGTGGAACGCCCTACCACCAGATGTCAAGGAGAAAAACAACTACCAGACTTTTAGAAGACATCTGAAGGCAGCCCTGTTTAGGGAAGCTTTTAATGTTTAATAGACTATTGTATTTTAATATTTTGTTGGAAGCTGCCCAAAGTGGCTGGGGAAACCCAGCCAGATGGGCGGGGCATAAATTATTATTATTATTATTATTATTATTATTATTATTATTATATTGTTCCTCCCCCTAGTGTGTGTAGCTGACCTCTTTAAGAGACATGCCTGATCTGTAATAGAAACTTTCCTCTCTGGATGTGGTCCCCTCTATAGCTACCTGGGGACTGGTTGGAGTCTTTCAGACCCCATTAATCTAAATGGGAGAGTTAGGCTGCAGTCCCATGCACACTTACTAGGAAGTAAGCCTACTATACACCACCCTAGAGTCTTCAGAGGAAGGATGGTTAAGAAATACATTGATAAAAAATAACTCCAACATAGGAGTACTTACATCTCAGAAAACCCATAAAGATTTGCACTGGTATGCACATTGCTAAAAGCTCTTCCATAGCTAGAAATATCATACCCAAGCATTATTGTGTAGCCAGAGCCTCTCAAGTTGCACATATTTTTAAACTCTGATGCAATTACATCCACCAGGAATGTAATATATGGCATTCTATTAATAAATGACTTAAAAGAGATTGGATATCGAGATTTATGTTCGTTTCATCTCAGAAGGGTTGTCTCCAGATAAATCATACTCAGAGTAAACCCACCGAAATCAATAGACATTTCTAACTTAGGCACATTGATTTCAATGGGACTGCTGAGAGTATGATTTAGTTTGAAAAGAGCTAGGTCAGTGGGACTTACTTTCAGGCAGATGTCTATAACAGGGGTGGCAGATCCTGATGACCTCCAGATGATGGTCTTCTCCAATTCCTACTAGCCCTAATCAGCATGGTTGATGGTCAGGGATTATTTAAGTTGGACCCACAAGAACATAACACCATTCTAGTCAGCACCCATCTGTCTTGAGAGACAATGGAAGAGTGAGCCTTCTGGGGTGAAGTCAAACCATAGGAGGGTTACAGTGCCTGCTGTGGCTGTAGAGACCAATATGGGAGAGACATGTTTTGTTGCAGCTGGGGCAGATGAAGGTGCCCGGTTGGGTTGATACATGTGTACCATGCCATTTCTTTCTTCTGTACTTCTCCCAGTGCTCACTCCTCCTCTGGTCACTGCTATGGACCACAACCTGACTATCTGTCTCCAGGCATTGTGGTCGTCTGCAAGGAATTTCCACACAATGGGGTTGATGTTGCCAGCCTTCACATCAACGTTTGAAGACTGTCTTTGTAGCACAGTTGGTCTGCCAGTGAGCCTGGTGCCTGAAGTCAGCTCCCCGTGGAGCATGTCCTTGGGGATCCTGCCTGTTATGTACTGAGTTGAATAGGATCCAAAATGCAGCAGTCTGATTGGTCCTAGAACAATAGAATCCAGAATGCATCAGTCTGATTGGTCCGCAGGAGCCACCCAATCCAACTCCAGGTGGAAGTGAATCTGCAACCTGATTGGCCTACAGGAGAATCCCAGAATTAGCCAATCACGTGGGGCCCATTGTGTAAATAAGGTATATAAAGCAGACATTTCGGGGGAACTTCCATTCCTCACTACTATGAGCTGAATAAAGAGCGTGAAACCCACACTCGACTCCGAGTATATTTCACTGCCATTTTCCATTTTGAGGACATGACCAAGTCAGCATAGATATTGCTGGGACAGGAGTGCAAACGTGCTGGGAATGTGGGCTTGGGAGATCTCATCTTTGTTTAAGACTCTGTCCCAAAATCTTCTTGACACAGTGCATGTGGAAGGTGTTGCAGTGTGGCTCCTGGTGAGTATAAGTTGCCTCTGTCTCACTATTGTCAGATTCATCAACTAGCTGCCTAGGGAAAATCCATAAGCAGAACCTGAACACAGCAACTTGTGGTTTGCACCAACTGGTACAGAGAGGCAGTAATATTATCCATCATGGCTAGTAGCTATTGAGGGCCTTCTATTCCACAATTTTACCTTTTAAAGATGTCCACCTTGGTGGCCACCAGGACCTTTTAGGTGAAGAAATCCAACTTTTACTATGCATTGTGCAAAGTCATCTTTTCTTTTTTTCTTTTCTTTTCTTTTTTCTCTCCTGACTTCTGAACCTTCCAACATTCACATAGAATCATAGAATTGTAGCCCTGGAAGGAATCTCAAGGGTCATCTAGTCCAACCCCCTGCAATGCAGGAATCTCAACTAAAGCATCCATGACAGATGGCCACCCTGTTGAGATTTCTCTTCCACCTTAAGAAGCAGACGTGTGGAACTGTTGCGTGTCACATGTCTGTTTACATTGTTTACATTCCAGCACAACTTGCTGGGAACTTCCATTGTGTGTATTGCTGTTGCTTTTCCGTTCTCTCTGATAAGATGAAGAGAGAGATATGACATGTTTCTTTCTCCTGATTTATGATTAATAAACCTGTAGTTGTAGTATGCTTTTACAAGCCTCACACCTATTATGTGTGCACAGTTCAATCTGCTGATAGTGTGCCCTGGCTTTGAAGCCCGGGTCGCTGATTTACGTCAGAGCAGAAGCCAATGGTCTTTGCAGTGGGCTGACTGGAAGCAGACAGCCCAGCTGGGGCTAGCCAGCTGGCCTCCTGGCCCTCTGCATGTCGACAACACACCCAATCTCTGCTTAGAAACCTCCAAGGAAGAAGAGTTCAACACCGCCTGAGGGAGTCCGTTCCACTGTCAAACAGCTCTTACCGTCAGAAAGCTTTTCCTGATGTTTTTTGTAACTTGAAGCCATTGGTTCGAGTCCTACCCTCCAGAGCAGGAGAAAACAAGCTTGCTTCCTCTTCAATGGGAAAGCCCTTGAGATATTTGAAGGTGGCTATAGTATCTCCTCTCAGTCTCCTCTTTTCCAGGCTAAACATACCCAGCTCTTTGTGGATTGGATGTCCGCAAGTTCTTGCAGACTGAGACAAAGGAGAAATCTTTTCTCCACCCACTTTCTACATACCATGCTTAAATTTATACAGCCCTATCACGTCCCCTCGGAGGAAATCTTTAATTTCCTCCAAACTGAAAAGTTCTGATTTCTATACCTTTCCTTCTTTGAGAGCTGCTCCATCCCCTTGATCATTTTGGCTGCATATTTCTGAACCTTTTCCAGCTCTGCAATATCTTTTTTTTTTTTTAATGTGAGCTCACTAGAACTGTGACACTATTCCAAGTGTGGTACAGCAACTTCTGGATGGTTCCCTACACTGGTATACAGGATTGTCACTTAAATTGCCCCAACCCTTCACTTGAGAAAGGCATATTTTTTGCCATTGAGTAAGTTCTTATGTCATGTAGAGTTAAAATTAATGAACTGGAAATGGCTGTCTTAACATCCTGGGAGGATTTCCCTGTCTCAGTTATACTATATACCCTTTCATGCTTTGCTGCCTGATGATTGGTCCTCGGGGCATTATTTGCTGAATAAAAAGAAAACATCAA